GGGTTCGCCTGGCCCCCGCCCCCCGAGAGCGAGGGGTGGCGGAGCGGGCAGAAGAGGAACGACGCCGACCACGACGACGACCAGGACGATGACGACGACGAGGTGACGATGCTGGCGACGCCGACGACGAGGCTGACGGGGATGACAAGCGGTGGGTGGCGCGGGGCGATGCGGGGTGCCCAGCGGGCTCTGGCCCCTTGACACCAAAGGGCGCCAGGGGGAGGGCCCTCGCGAGGAGGAAAGAATCGGCGGCGAGCCCAGGGGGGAAGTGAGAAGGGGCGGGCCTCCTCAGACGGCTCGGAAGTTCCCTGGCCGTCCGAAAAGATTTCTAAGCCTTCCCCCGAAGACGCAGAAAACTTCTCCGAAGGCCAGAGGGCTTCTGAGGAGCCCCGCCGCCTTCTGAGAAGGCCTTCTCCTTCTCACTTCCATCCCTCGCTCGCCTCCGAGAGAAGAAGCACGCCCTCCTGAACCTTTACTGTACACGGCGACCCCTCGCCATCGCTCGGACGTCCATTCCCCGTGCACTTTTCGGCTTCATGCGTGCACTTGTCTTCGCAAGATGGCCCAAGATGTTCATCGGATGGTCCTTGCCGACAAGAGCGCCCTCGTCCGAGCGATGCCAAGACTGAAGGGGCCCTGGGACAGACAAATAAATACACAAACATCAAAAGGTTCCCCTCTGTTTTTCAATACTTTCTGGGTTTCTGTCTTCCCCCCCACTTCCCATATTTTCCTATTCTCTGGGGAATCGACGATTGCTTGTGTCTGTGATTTTTCCCCTCCTGAAGGGCCCTGGACCCGCGGCCCCCTATATGTTTCCATATGTCTCCATATCCCCTATATGTTTCCATATGCTCTGGGTTTCTGTCTTTTCTGGGGACGATTAATTGTGTCTGTGTGTTTCTCCCCCTCCTGAAAGGCCCTGGACACGCGGCCCACGGACCTTCCTCTGCGCGCGCCCCCGCCAGAACTCCGGGGCGGACCCCCCGCCCGTGGCGGGCGAGGAGGCCCCCCCCTCTTGACACCCGGAGGGGCCCCGAAGACCAGCGGCTCGCGCGCGCGCTGCCCAACGACGTCGACGCCGTTACGACCAGCGCGCGGGCGCCGCGCGGGGGGGGGGGGCCTGCGCGAGGGCGCCACGGCTGCCGCTCGGGAAGCCACTCCTGGGAGGTCCTCACAAGAACGAGGAAGGGCCAGATTTGCCTGAAGGAGCTGCCACTGCGCCAGGCTCGGCCGAACCATGCTGCATGAGAAACGGGATTATGCCAGATTCAACGGGGCTGTTCGGATTAAGCCAGCTCTCGGTCACGGATCTACCAGCGCCGATGCAGAATTGAATCTCCAAGGCGTGGCAATCCTGAAAGAAGAGTCCGACCGCGGAAGAACTTGTCCATTTCCTCCTGCACTGGCATGTGCAATAGTAGATCGGCACGTCGTCGGAGTGACCAAATTTGGCCAGGTATTCGACGTGGTCCTCGTCGCTGCCGTCCGTGCCGTCAGAGCTGTCAACGACGACAACGATCTCAATGTCGTCGTCGTCATCGGAGTCGAGGTCGTCGTCGACTCGTCGGCGCCGCTGACACCAAAGGCGCGGGCAGCGTCGGCGCCGAGGGGCCGCGCGCGCGCGCCGCGGCGAAGAGGCCCGCGCGGGTCGCGGAGAGGCCCGCGCGGGCCGCGCGCGCGCGCGCCGCGCCCGCGCCGCCTGCCGGTCCAGCCTCTCCCGCAGCTCCGCCAGCTCCCTGCGCCGGTGCCCGCTCCCTGCTGCCGCTCCTCCCGCTCCCGGGGCCGCCTGCGCCCAGCCGCTCTCGCCGCCGGTGGGGGGTCCGACGGTCGTGCCGACGGTTGGTGCGGTGGTTGCCCCGATGGTTGCTGCAGCGGTGGTCCCATGGTGGTCCCGCAGCTGTCCTGTGGTCGTCCCGTGGTCGTCCCGTGGCTGCCCCGTGGCTGTCCCGATTGCTGTCCTGATGACTGTGCCGGCGATCCGCTGGCTGTCCCGTGGTTGTCCCGAAAATATATTTGGCTTGTCCCGCGGTTGTCCTGTGATTTTCCCGTGGATGCCGCGTGGTTGTCCTGTAATTGACGCGAGGGTGTCGCGGGGCTGGCGCTTGGTTGTCGCGTGGCTGTCCCATACTTGTCGTGGTGGGCTTGCCGGGCCGAAATACAGTGAATGTGATAGATAGGAGAGCGTGGTTCTATTCCCTTCCAATAATGTCCGTGACGAGGGGGGGTCGGGCCCCCGTGGCGGGATAACAATAACGTGGGCGGGCCCCGCTGGGGGGGGGTCTGGGCGCCGGACGACGACGACGGCAACGACAGTTTGGGTGGCCCAAAAAGGAGTCCAGCTGAAAGGGCATGGTACAATAGATTTTGGGCGATTGTATTGCAAGTATACTGCGCCGGAGAATTGTAGTGCATTGTACTGTCAGTAATGTATTGCACGCAAAAATCCAGCATGTAATGCACGCAAATGCATTAGTGCACCGAAATGCGTTGCACGCCACAACTGAATTGCAACCCCACAAATCTATTGCACCAAATCTATTGCACCAGCCCCTTGTCGCTGGACCCCTTTTGGATCAACCCGAGACAACGACGACGACAAGGACGAGGCCAAGGACGAGAACGAGGACGAGAACGACGACGACGACGACAAAGAAAATGACGACGACGACGACGACGACGACGACGACGACGACGACGACACAGACGACGACGACGACGACGGCAGCCATTGAAGACCTCCGGAAGTCTCTGGAGGCCTCAGGATGTCTCCGGAGGCCTCTGGAGGCGTCTGGAGGACCTTCGAGGCACTCAGAAACGTCGACGAGGAGGACGAGGACGACGACGGGTACGACGAGGAGAACGACGACGACAACGACGATAATAACGACGACGAGGAGGACGACGACGAGGACGAGGGCAAGGACGACGAACAAGACAAGGACGGGGACGACGACGAGGACGAGGACGCGGACGACGACGAGGACGACGACGACGACGACGACGACGAGAACAACGACGACGATGACAGGACGAGGACGACGACGTGGACGAGGGTCAAGGACGACGAAAATGATGACGACGACGACAACGACGAGGACGAGGACGACGAAGACGACGGCGACGACAGCCGCCACTGAAGGTCTCCAGAAGTCTCCGGAGGCCTCAAATTTTTCCAGAGGTATTTGGAGTACAGCTGGAAGCCCTCCGAAGCCCTCGAAAACGAGAACGACGACGAGGACGAGGACGAGGACGGGGACGACGACAAGAACCACGACGACAACACCGACGACGCCGCCGCCGACGAAGACTACGAAACCGACGACGACAACGACGACGACGAAAAAAACAAGGACGACGAAATCGACGACGACGACGGACAACGACGACGACGAGGACGACGAAAACGACGAGAACGGCGACAGCGACGACGAAGACGACGAGAACGACGAGGACGACGAGAATGACGACGACGAGGACGAGAACAACGACGACAACGACGACGACCGCCTCTGAAGATCCAGTCAGGACTCCAGAGGCTTCGGAGGCCTCCGGAGGCGTCTGGATGCCCTTCGAGACCCTGGGAGACGAACGACCACGACGACGACGACGCCGATACCGACGACGACGAGGACGGCCACCTCTGAAGGCCTCCAGGAGTCTCCGAAAACTCAGGAGATCTGCGGAGGCCTCTGACGACGTCTGCAGGCCATGCGAGGGCACAGGAAACGACGACGACGACGACGACGACGACGACGACACCGACGACGTGGACGACGACGACCACGACGTGGTCGACGACGCCGAAGACGACGACGAAGATAACGACGACAACGAGGACGACGACGACGACTAGGACGACGACGACGAGGACGAGAACGACGACGACTTGATCAACACAACAGAACGACGACGTTGGGAACGATGACAACGACGACAACGACGACGACGACGACGGCGACGGCGACGACGACGACAGGACGACGACGACACGGCGACGACGACGACGATGGCCGCATCTGGAGGCGTCTGCGGATTATCCGATGCCTGTCAGCACCACACCATACCTGTGAGCACGGCGCCATGGCTGTGGTGGGACCGGCACCCCACCCCCTCCCGATAAGTTTGTTACCGTGACGGCGGGGGGCAGACGTTACGGGTTCAACGAACAAAAAAAAGTCTCTAAACTGAAAACGAGATCGGTGGTGTAATAATGGTACCGGTAAATAAATAGATCGATGTCCCGTGGCTGTCCCGTGGCTGACCCGTGGTTGTCCCGTGCTTGTCCTGTGACTGTGTCGCGGTTGTCCCGTTGTTGTCCCGATCTGTACATACATGTACCGTGACATCGATATATCTCTATATCTATATGTACATGAATATGAAGTGGATTCGGTGGATAGTGTGGTGATCGGGTTGGCAGAAAGATAGTGGTAGACCAATAGATAATGACTCCGTCAGCAAAATTGATCCTGATATCTAGATGCATCTTGTAAGACCGACCGATAGCTAGCTAGGTCGACAGATATAGTGATGGTCAGACCTGTCGATCAACATATCTTACCGTCGTCCTGTAATGGTATATCTATAGATGAGTACATCAGCAATCCGATCCGACGCCAAATGGACACGGAACACTGCACCCATCCCGTCAGAATCAACGACTCGTCCCACACGTGCGTTCGCTCATCCGAAGTCAGAGCTTAGACAAACACGCATGGGCAACCTGGTTGCCAACGCACCGGCAATCACAACAAAGCATCATCATCGAACATATTAGCATCATCATAATCACCACCAACAACATAATCATCAGCAGCATCAGCATAACTAACCACCATCAGAATTATCATCATCATGATCAGCAGCAGCAGCAGCAACAGCATCGTCACCCCTCCTCATGGACTCGCGACTCACTTCCTCTTATCCTCCCTCCCTCCTTCCTCTGGTTATCCCTCTCCTCCTCCGCCTCCTCCTCCTCCTTCTCTCCCGCCCCCTTTCCCGCTCCCTCTTCTTCTCTCCACATGCCTCCTCCTGGGGCCATCCGCGAGTTCACTTGAACCGCGGGGCCTCTGGATACGCAGTGCGGTCCTGTATCTCGCCGAGGCCTGGGGAGTACCATTGGGCACTGCATGTTCTCCTGGGCCCTGTGAGAACCAGTTTGAGTGCATTGGCCCTCATGGGGTCTTCCTGGAGACCATGGGCCTCCCTGGGGCCGCTCGGGGCCCTCCCTCTGCTGGCCGCCTTGACATCGGCTGGTCCGCTGCCGGCAAGCTTGGCGCAGATGTCGAAGCGCATCTGGCCCGCTGGAAGGCTCAGGAGGGCGGCAGACGCCACGGAGACGACGTGTGCACGCGGAACCTTGTGAAAACAAGTCTTGAACCAGTCGTTCGCATCGGCGACGTCATCATGGCCGATAAGGAGGTCGCGGTCGCCCGCATCGTCTTCGGAGAGGCCGCAGGGCTTCACGATGGTGTAAGGCACGCCCTGCTCGATGATGTACTTCTCCGCCCTAGCCTTGTCCTCCAGCACGTGCTTGTGAGGCTTCGAGGTGCTCATAGACGAGAACAAGACAATACGCTTGCCATCCTTGCCCGCCACCAGAAGAGTATCGACCCGGTTCTTGACACAGTACCATTCGATCTTGTCCACCACGTCGTCGGGCTCATCTCCATGCGCGCCGACCGCAATCATGACTGTATCCACGCCGTTGAATGCGCCCTGAATGGTGTCCTTCTTCGTCACGTCGCCGAGGTAGATGCCCTCAGACTCATCGCATCTCTTGCAGCCCAGAGCTGTCTTCGCTTTGTCCGCAGAATGAACAAGAGCACGCACATCAACCTTCGCCTCCCGAAGAACCTTGTACATGAGAGATCAAGTACGGCCTGATGCGACGGTGAGAATCTTATCACCCTGAGCGCCAGAAGCAAGGGCTGCACCGACAATAACGGATCGGAACATGTTTGATAAATGGAAGGTTTCAGCAGCTGGTAGGTTGAAAAGTGATTGATTGCTGAGCCCGTCCAGATGCTCGAGCCCAAATTGCTTAAGCCAAAATTGCTAGGGACCACTGGACCCTAATTTGTTAGGCCCAACTCTGGGACATGCGCACGATGGGGGGGCGTCCATCCTCGATGGGGTTGCGTCCGAATCGCCCCCTGAAGGTATATCCCCAGCTTTCGCATCTTATCTGCGCGACCTGATATTGCGGGGGCGACTCGGGGGTTGGGGGCGAACCATTGCCCGAGAAGCCTGGTTTGGTCAACGACCACGCGGCGTGGCCGTACTGCCCCAACCCCGCCGGGCCCGAAGCGAGCCTTCCGAGGCCCGAGCTCAGCACAGCCGCCGCACGGCCTGTTCTCGGCCGCCGACCGCGCGGCAGTGGCCGCGCCGCGCCGCGCGGCGCCGCACCGCGCGGCCCTTCGCCGCGGCCCTTGGCCGCGGCAGCGGCAGCGGCGGGGCGGCGGGGGCGCCTGCGCAGGTCGCGGATCATTTCGTCCGCCTCCAGCGTCGGCGGGGCAGGCAGCGGCGCGCCCTGGGGGCGGGGCATGGCCGACGTATCACTGGCGCCCCGCCGTCACGGCACAGAAAGCGCCCCTTGTCGATAGGGAAGCAGCCCCCGCCCCATCGGGCTGAGAACGGAGCTGTGACAAGAAACCGTGCCTGACAAAACCTCGGAGGCCCATGCATCATCCGTCTTTCACCTTCCTGAGGTGCCTCGGGACGCCAATGTGGGTCCTTGTGCCACATGGGGTATGACAAACTTCAGTTGGCAAGCAGACATAATTAGTTGATGCACCTATCCGTCCCTCTCTCTTTTCCTCCTTGCAAAGTCCTTTGTCGGGGCGCCCATTGCCACTCCTTGGCATGCCTCGATGCAGACCTGCCGTGCTTCGCCGTGAAACTGTGGCGCACCAGCCGAAAACCCTAAACAACCACGTCCTCATTCTATTCGTCCCGCCCCCGATCCCCTTCAAATCGACGCCCGCCCTGGAGCGGGCCCTGCCCGGGATCCCGAGGAGGCGGATCCAGCAGCACGTGTCGGCCAGGGCCCCCCCCGCTGACCGGTGAGAACGCCCAGACCAACGAAGTCCCCATTTCTCCTCCTCGATGGCTAAATGGCCGTTCGGGTGCCACCCCATGAAATATTCCTACCAAGAAGTAAGAATTCGGAGCCCTAGTCGCTAGAGGGGCGACGGGCAGCGCGGCGGAGCGCACAGGACTCCTTCTCCTCCTCCTCCTCCTCATCATCATCATCATGATCATCAGCAGCAGCGGCAGCGGCAGCGGCAGCGGCAGCGGCAGCGGCAGCGGCAGCGGCAGCGGCAGCATCATCAACATCATCAGCATCCTCATCGCCAGCATCATCATCATCACCATCATCATCAGCAGCATCAGTTTCAGCATCAGTTTCAGCATCATCATCACCATCATCATGACCATCATCATCATTATCATCAGCAGCAGCAGCAGCATAACCATCATCAGCATCATCAGCAGCATCATCACCGTCATCATATTCATCAACAGCAGCATCATCATCAGCATCAGCAACATCGTCATCATCTTCCAACTCCTCTTCGCTCCTCCATCTGTGAGCGCCCGTAGTCGACGCAGCCTTGCCTTCGAGGGGCCGAGGGCCCTCCCGCACACCCCGCAGCACAGCCCAGGCCACCACATCTCGGGGAGGGGGGCCACCGCCCACGGCCCGCGGTGAGCCGCCGGCCGGGGCTGGAGGCAGCAGGGCGGAGACTTCTGTCGGTAACCTCGGCTTTGGGGGGCGCGAGGGGGGCGGTCTTCGAAGAGGGCGGGTGGCCTCCTGGAAGGCACGGGCTCCGATCTCCAGAAGCGCCCCGGACGCTTCCAGAGAAGGGGGCCTCTCCCACAACAGCCACGGAGGGCTGCCGAGAGGCCGCCTGCCTTCTTGGAGGCCGCCCCCCGCCTTCTCAGAAAACCGCCCCCCACTGCAAATTAAGACCTGCCAGAGCCAGCTCGGCGACCGCTGCGCGCCGCTGCGGCTCCTCGTCCAGCCCGCGCCGCTCCTCTTCCTACCTCATCTCTTCAGCCCCCCCTCCTCCTCCTCCTCCTCCTCCTCCTCCTCCTCCTCCTCCTCCTCCTCCTCCTCCTCCTCCTCCTCCTCCTCCTCCTCTAGGCGCCGCCCATCGCGCGCGCCGCAAGCGCCAGGACCTCGTCACTGCGCGGGGACTCTGGAAAACGCGCTGGCGCGCTGGCACGCCCGAGGGAGCAGGCGGCCGCGGGCCAGACCAGGTCCTCCGCTCTCCTGCTCCTCCCGGCTGGCTCTGGCCAAGCAGCTCGGGCGCTCGCCCCCAGAAGGGCAGTCCACGTGGGGTGGAGCGGCGCGCGCGCGTTTCGTGCATGCTGTTGAGCCCTCGTGGGCGAGTGCGGGGCCATGTTACTTCCCTGCAGTGATGGACCCCCCCACGTGTCTTGCCCCCCGCTGCCGTCCGCCCGAGGTCTCAAAATGCCCAGGCTTCTGGGGCACCGACGGGCAGCGTGGTGGCCGACGCCGCACGTGCGGGCGGCCCGAAAAAGGACCCCCAGACTTTCCAGCGCTCGGCCTTCTCTCAAGTCCGACGCTGCAACAAAAGACACCGCAAACGAAAACAAACTTGGCCCTAGTTAGACCGTTAGACCCAATCTGTTTGCTGCAGCTTTCGAGAACGGATCGGTACACATCTGATGGTCCCAGGGCCGGAAACCGGGCGACGACCCAGAGCGTGAAGAAACACGAAGACGCCCGGATCTCAGAGGGCCTCACGGTCCCCGCGCGCAGCCTTTTCGGATTGCCGGTGTAAAGCGGGGCGCCCTGGGGAGGCCCCCAGGGGGTCTCCGAGGGCTGGGGCGTCCCGGAGGAAGCCACGAGGCGAAGGCTACCGGCAGGGGGCGGCAGGAGAACAACGGCAAGGGCGTCATGCCAGGCGAGCCAGGCCATGTGCAGCGTCAGACCTCGAGGTCTTCGCCGCGAAGGCCTTCGAGGGCAAGTTCTGAGGGCTCCACCGTGGGGCAAGCGTTAGGTCGGGCATGTCCCCCATACAGGCTCATTTTGGAGGAACAATAAACAAGTTGACATATTCAAAGATCGTAGCAAATCAATAGCAAAATCGTCCCCAGACTATTTTCTGACTACTTGTGAATCTTCCGCCTGTAGGAGACGTGCCCGACGTAATGCAGGCCCCAGGGGGGCGTGGCGAAGGGCGGGCGCCAGGCCAGCTGGCCCAACGCAGGCCCCGCTCTGGCGGCAGCGGGGAGCGTGGCGGACCCCTGCCTGCCCTCGCGGGAGGCGCAACAGCCACCGGAAAGAGGGGGGAGGACGCCTACTCTGGGTTCTTGATCAGCGTGGGGGGTACCCCCCGACGGGGGTCAACCTCGCCCTGTCGTCGCGCCGCGACGGGGGTCGGAGCGCATTCGGCGGCGCGCAGTGGCAGCCTGCGACGGGGGTCGATGTGAGGCTGTCGGCGGAGGTGACGCCTCCCCGACGCTTATTCGGAAACTGTATATGGCTGTGGTGCTTTGGTGAATCCACCCAGCCGCGACGCGGCCGAGGGCGCACTGGTCGCTTTCCACGGGCCATAGCTCCTCAGCTTTGGCCTCAGACCTGGCTTTCCTGCACGAGCCCATTCGACCGCCGAATCAGGCGAGTCAAACCGTGCGGGGGGGGGGGGGGGGGAGACGAGGAAGGCAACGAGGACGAAGAGCGGGCGGAAGGCGGCGCAAGATTACGTTTTCCGCCATACGGGACGCCCGTCCCTGGGCGGGGCGCGCCCGGGGACATGCGACCAAAATGGTAGCACAATTTATGTGCTACTGTTCTGGGCTAGCGGTCGGCTGCGCGAAAGAGTGCCGCCTCTAGGCGAGAGTCAATCATGACCTCTTGTGTGCGGCCTGAGGGGAGCGCGGAGGGGGGGGACCAGTCCCAAGCGCGCAAGCCACTGCCAAGCTATGCGCTCAGCGCTCAGCGATGAGCGGCCCCGTCGGAGCCCGCACCAAAGAGCCACCACGACGCCTCCTCGCGCGGAGGCCGTGCCCCGCACGGGACTGCGCGGCGCACCCCTGCGCGCCTGCTCCACAGAGAGAGAGAGAGAGAGAGCCCACTTGGGCGGCGCGCGGAGGGGGGTAGGGGGAGGGCCACCTCGAAACGCGCGTCAGCGACAACGTAAACGGGGGCGCCTACTCCGGCTCCTCCTCCTCCTCCTCCTCCTCCCTCCCTCCTCCTCCTCCCTCCTCCTCCTCCTCCTCTTCCTCTCCTTCCTCCTCCTCCTCCTCCTCCTCCTCCTCCTCCCCCTCTGCGTGTGGCCGGGAAGGCCGCGCGCCGGCCACCCCCGGCGCTGTGGCCGCCGTGGCCGCCGCCCGGCGCCGTGGCCGCGGCGGCCGCCGCCTGCCCGCCCGCGAGACGTCGGCGCGGTGGGGCGGCGCGGTCGAGGCTCTCGCCGCGCCCTTCGCGCGCGCTCGCGCGGCGCGCGGGAGGTTGGTGCTCGGCCTGGCCGCGGTGGACCAGCGGCTGTGGTTGCGGTTGTGTGGATGTCGCCCTTCTCTCGGAGGAGGCAGAGGTACCCGTGCCGCTGCCCTTCCCTCGCTTTCCCCCTGCTGGGCCTCCTGGGAGGCCCTCGTCGCCGCGGCCGGATTCGCCTCGATAATCCTGGTCAGGGCGCACCCCAGGAGAGGTCCGGGGAGCAGCGCCAGGACCGGCGACGATGGCGAGGCCGACAACGACGACGACGACGACGACGACGACGACGACGACGACGACGACGACGACGACGACGCCGAGCCGCAGAACTGAGGCAGGCCCCATGGCGGTGCGCTGGCCGCTCCGCGCGCCGGCCGCAGCTCCCGCGGCGCCGCGGGAGCAAAGGGGCAAGGAAGAGATGGGGGGAGGCCTGGAGGACCCCAGGGCGGAGGGGGGGAAGGGAGGGCGGTTGGCGGCACGCAGAAGGGGGCAGGGGGAGGGGGGAAGGCTTCTGAGAAGGAGGCTGCTTCTCAGAAGGCGCGGGCCTTACGTCTACAGAAAAGGCCCGCGCCTTCCGAAAAACCGCATGGGTGCTTCTAAGACGCCTTCCCCCCTGCCCGTACCCCCCTCTACGCATGGCCGAGGAGGAGGGCGCGAAACATCATATATTTTATGACGGCAGGCGGTCATGAACAAAAACGTGTTGAGATGAAACATCACACGCTGATTATTATGATAGCTGGTAGCCGGTAATCATATTAACAAGCCTGTGATGTTTCCGAATACTACCTTGTCTATATCTGCCAAATGTAAGTTGCAACTTTTCCACACTGGGCGTTTTCGCCCAATTACCGGCCCTGGGACCATCACGGATCGATCCGTCTGGAGATGCGCCGAAAAAAACTGGCTCCGGGGCACCGGTCGCGACCCAGCGCGACGCCACATTCTTGTTCGCGACGTCGGATCTGATGCGAAGGGGGCCAGAATATATTTAGCCATATCCACCGCCTGCCGAGGTCCCCGAAGATAGATCACCAGGTGGTGGTCATGGATAAATCCCCGCCTCGAGACGAGGAAGAAAGGCGCCGACAACTCTTCAGGCACAGACGGCGAGGCGCTGGGGGCGGACATCTTCGCGCGCCCATGGGTGGTCAGGGGAGACCACTAAGGATGGTGCGGCGCCGCGTTGGCCGGAGCCGAGCTCGAGGGTGGGCAGGGATGGGAAAATGCAGCGAGAGCAGACGAGGCAAATGCCGGCGGCGCCTGGCAAAAGTGATAGCGATTTGCGGTGACGCCGACACAAAACGCGCTCCATCCCTTTCTCATGCGTCTGTGCAACGCGCAACTGCCTCCTTAGAGGCTCGTTGCAAATCAACGACACGGTATCACTACCAGCACGCCCGTGCGGCGGTAGGGTGTGCCGAACTACACATCGTCCAGGGGCGGTCGCTGCTTCGCGACGTACACCTACACTCCGCCAGCAGTTGTGGGTGTCGGATGAACACTCCTGTCTGCTTCCAGCGTGCAGTATCCTCCCCTCTGAGTGGAACGCCCTCCCCGTCAAAGAGCTCCGAGGGAGGGGGGAGGGAGATGGGGAACCAGCGAGGGGGGGAGAGAGGGAGAGGGGATAAAGGGCAAGCTAGGTGCGCTCGCGTCATATCTGACGTCCTACCCCTCCCTCCCATTCCTTACCATGGCGCTGATTTTCTCTATCCGCGGACGCGTGTCGTAGCGGACCTGTGGCTCCGCGCGCGCGTGCGTAGTGGGTGGTGGTGCGCGCGTGCGTGCGTGCGTGCGTGTGTGCGTGGTTGGTGGTGGTGGTGGTGGTGGTGGTGGTGGTGGTGGTGGTGGTGGTGGTGTGGGTGGTGGTGGTGGTGGGTGGTGGTGGTGGTGTGGTGTGGTGGTGGTGGTGGTGGTGGTGGGCGGATGGGCGCGCGAGAAAGAGGCCCGCGCTGGGGCGAGAACGCCATCCTGAACGACGGAGGCCAAACACCTATCCGAAAATGAGGCCCACGCTGCAGTGGGAGCACGATTCGGAACGATTCGGGAGCAGAAATGAGGCCGGCGCCTCAGCGAGAGCAGCATTTTGAAAAAAACGCAGGCGAAAACCCGTTTCCCGGGAATCCTGTGTGTAAAAAAACAGTACGCGGGGGGGGGTCGGCCATCTTCGGGACGCCATCAGGGGAAGTGGGAGAGTATTTTCATATTGTGTAATTGTAAATGAAGGGGGGAAGAGGGAGGGGTCAGGAGGGAGGAGGGGTAGGAGAGGAAGGGAGATAGAAGAGGTTTCTTTACGGGTCCTGGAGGTCGTTCACACGTGTCGATCGGTTCCTGGATGTCTGTTGGAGAGTCTGTTAGAAGGGGCCGAGGGGGCGATGGAAAGCGTACAGGAAATGGAGCCTCCTCCTCATCATCATCACCATCATGAGTCAATTCAGGGTGCTGCTGATGTTCCTTCTCATCGTCACCGTGGTCCTTCCCCTCTTCTTGCTCATACTTTTCCCCCTCCACCTCAGGGCCTCGGACGATAGGTCTCACCGCACACCGAGCACCACGACGCTACCCACTTGGGAAGGCCAGTCGAAGCCAACGATGCATGGCTTTCCAATAATGATGCAGCCCTACCAAACTCAGGCGAAGAGGTTGCATGACCGCCCTCATCCTGCCTCCTCCTCCTCATCCTTCCTCCCCCTCCCCCCCTCACCATCATCCCCCCACCCCCTTCACTCCTCCACCGCCCCTCTTCCTCATCATCCCTCTGGCCAGAACAGCGCATCATCGACAAGATTCCTCCTGCACCCCCCCCCTCCTCCACGCCCGCCCCCCCACCCCTGGTGCAACGCGCAGCGCCTGCGCCGACCACAGGAAGACCTGCGGCGCCAGCGCTGCCACAGCGAACGCACGGGCCCTTCACGCCTTGACGCGCCACGCCTTGAGGGCCAGGGTGGCGCAGACCACCTCGTGCCAAAGCGCTTTGAGCCCAAAATGGCAACGAAAGGAGGACGAGGAGGAGGAGCAAGAGGAGGAGGAGGAGGAGGAGGAGGAGGAGGAGGAGGAGGAGGAGGAGGCGAAGAGGAAGAGGAAGAAGAGGAGGCGGAGGATAAGGAGGAGGAGGAGGAGGAGCAGGTCGACGAGGCTGCCCCTCCACGCCCTGATGCGCAACGTGCGCCTGCACCTCGCGACTGCGCCGCGCGACTGACCCAGCGCGACTGCGCCGGGGAGACGCAGTGTGCCCCACGGTGCTCGCGCGCTGAAAAAAATTGGCGCTCCCCTGTCGGGGGGCACGAACGGGTAGGATAGCAAAGGGCAGGGTAGAGAATCAGCTCACGAAGCGGGTTTTTCTGACACCCCCTGGCACCGGGAGGCGCCCATGTGGCAGATTCCTGAACCCTGAGCCCACAAAATGTGGTCATCTCCTGGGAGCGCATTTTTTACCTCCGCCACCTTCCGCCGCCCTTCCGCTGGCCTCCGCTGGCGGAGGCGGCGTCGTTCTACTTCCGCCGACCTTCCGAGGAAGAGACGACAGCTCCGTAGACACTCGAAGGCAAGGCCGCTTCTCGAACGCCCCATGTACCGAGGCATGGGCCCGGCGGCGGGGTCGAGACCCGCTGCAAGCAGCAGATTTCGTACCCACCCCTTTCCCTCCCTAGCATACCCTCTTCTCCGGCACGACCCTGGCCGCTCCCGCGCCGCATGCGTCAGCGCGCCGGCGCAGCGCCGAGCGCGCAACGACCGCGCCAAGGGGAGGACGCCCGCGGTGCCTGCGCAGGAACCCTGTTGATCGGGCGGGGGGCTGGCTCCAGCAGGCGGTCGGCCGGCGGCGGGGCGCGCCGGAGGCTCACTAAGGCACACAAGGAGAGTACAGGGACGCGGGGGGAGAGGGCCCCGGACGGCCGGAACGCCCTCGGAGCGTGCAGCCTGCGCGTCCTCCTTCTTTCGCTCCTTCCCCCTTGTGCGGGTTCTGAGCAGTGCTGGGTCCGCAGGCGTTTTTCTCGCCGGGCGCGCCCCCTCCGGCAGTGCGCCGCCCGCTGGCCTGTTGCGCTGGGTCGACAAGATGGACGCCCAGACCTCGCCCGCACCCCGTGTTCTGAAGTGCTCGCGGCGCTCGCCAAAAACTGCCACGCGCAGTGCCTGCACCGGCAAGAACTGGGAACAGCCCGTCCTGCGGCGGTGCATCTGCAGATCCACCGTGGAGTCCACCATTCACCACCACCGCTCTATGTCAGGGGCGGCTGACCCATGGTGATGCCTTGCAGTGCGAGGCGCCGACCGTCCCCGGCAAGACACAACCGAAGGTCCGCTGCCCATGGTTGGTAGCATAGGTAATGGAAAATGATAAGTCACGATCCTCTTCTTCCGCCGAAGCGCTCATCCCAGACGCAGCGCTGCGCTTCCGCCCTTCTGCTGACACCCGGCATCGCACTTTGGAGGCAAGGTTGAGCCCGCGTGGACGCGGGCGGCACCGCCGTGGGCGAGGCTACGGCGGTGATAGTGACGACGGCGCGGTAACTCTCCAGGCCCCGATGCGCGACCATCTGCACCGCGCCCCGCCAGGCCTCCCCCTCCACCCCTTGGCCACCCCAGGCGCTTCGTCCCGGCTAGGTCTGGATCGCAAAGGGGCATTGGAAAGCGCCTGTGTTATACTACACATTGCCTCCTCCTCATTCCTCGCCGCGCCTGCGATGAGGAACGTGTGCTCAGCGAGTCGCGGCCGCGGCCCCTGCGCCACGCTATGAATTGCAGGCTGGTAGCGTGTCGCTCTGCTTCGTGGAACGGGTGGCCGGGAGAAGAGCTCGCAGCGTTGGAGCTCGGGGACTGGGACGTGCTTCGCGTGCCGCGCCGAAGCGTGGGGGGGGCCCGAACCAGCGACGCGACACGCTGAGCAACCGGTCGTGGCCACAGCACCCCTGTCAAATTGTGGGCCCACGGAGCCGCGTCAGCGCTGCCCAACTATCTGCAGCGCAACCCCGCGGGCCGGCGGTCAGGAGCCTCTGTACGGGTCACGCCTTCTTGCCGCCCTCGGTCGTGCTCGTGTTCTGGGCGCGGTTCCGCAACGCCACCTGCTCGCAGCGGTAGCAGAGGTCCTGGATCGCGTCGTAAATCAGGCGCTCGTCCCCCTGCAAGCGGGCGCGAAGGGGGACGACCAAAGCGAGGGGCAGAGGAGGGGACTCTCCGCAACCATCATTGAGATGGACCCTGGCGGACAGAGAAACGGCATGCATCCTGGACGCTGTGAGGGAGGTGGAACGCGACATTGCTGCAAGCGTGTCGGGGGATAAACGAGGCATGGTTCGATGCTCGACTGACTGATCAAGAAGACGGCTGGCGCAGTCAGTCTACTTTTCCTGCAGCCGCGAGCCGAAAACAGGAGAATACTGCTGCCGCCAGGCTACTACTGCTCGAGCGAGGAAGATGATGAGGATAGTCCGTCCTCGCCTTCTTACACCTTGTTGTTATTGCACCCTTCGTCCTCCTCTCTCGTCTCTGAACCTCCCACCTAGCCTGGGGAAGAGCCTCGGAGCGCGGCAACAGCTCAAAAACCTTCAGGGCCAACACTCCCCATTCGTACAGGGCTCTGTTCCCTCGTTGTGCTGCTACTCGCTTACGCAGAAGACCCACGTCTCAAAGAGCACAGACGGAGCCTCAAGAGACGTCATTGCAGGACCATTTTTGCACCTCAATACTGAGAACAACACAACCACACATGAGCGCAAGTCGCAACGGGAACAGTACCTAAAACTCCGATTCCTTGCTTTTCAATACGGGGTCCCCCGAAGTCCCGCGCCGCTCCCCAGAGCAGGCGGCGTTCATCATCATCAGCATCATCATCATCAGCATCATCATCATCGTCAGCATCACCATCATCATCATCATCATCATCACCACCACCATCATCATCATAATCATCATCCTCATCATCATCCTCATCATATTTATCATCATGATCATCATCATCAACATCAGCATCAGCATCATCAACAACAGCAACGGCATCAACACACACACACACATCAACATCATAATCATCATCACCACCACCACAATCACCAGCACCATCAACATAATCGGCATCATCATTACCACTACCACTAGAATCACCAGTATCAACATCAACACCATCATCACCACCAGCAACATCAACAGCATCCACATCAACATCAACATCATCATCATCGTCAGCATCATCATCAGCATCATCATTATCATCATCAGCATCATCATCATCATCGTCAGCATCACCATCATCATCATCACCACCACCACCATCATCATCATCATCACCATCACCATCATCATCATCATCATCATCATCAGCATCATCATCATCATCATCATGAATCGTGTAATGCACGGTCCCCCGTCGTCGTCGTCCTCGTCCGTCGTCCGTCGTCCGTCGTCAGTCGTCCGTTGTCGCCCGTCGTTGCCTGCCGTCGTCGGCGTCGTCGTCGTCACAATCGTCCTCGTCGTCGCCGACGACCGGCAATCGATCGAGGATCGCCCGACTGAATCTGTCTTCCCACGCCGACCAACAGCTGCCTGGAGGATCTGATGGCCTATGGTCTGCTGCTCGGCCTTGGACGCCACCGAGGGCGGCAGCGCCTGCATCCCCGCCTCCAGCCAGGAGGGAAACTCCTACCGGCGGCCGACGTCTGCGTCGTCACCATCGCCGCCACCACGTCTGCCTCCTCCCCCACTCCTCCTCCCCCCTTTCCCGCGCCTCCTGCTGCTCACACCCATCCTCCTGTCCCTCGTTAAAGGCGTAGAAACTGTCCAAGAGGGCCTCAAGATGGCCCAATATGATATCAAGCCGGCCCAAGAGACATCATAGACGCCCCAAGACGCTTCCAAAATGACGCCCAAGAGGCGCTCGAGAGGCAAAACGCATTGATGTTCCGAAAGGTCCTGACAGATTTTGACCCCAAGACTGCCCAACATGCTCTAGGAGGCTCTAAGACAGCTACACAAGACTCTGCCCAGGAGGGCCCCAATACGCGGCCCATGAGAGCTCCAAAATTGCCCAAGCGGGTTCAAAAACGGCCCGAAAGGACCCCAAGACGGCCCAGTATGGCATGGGGCCCAAGAAGGGGAAAGTCGGGCTGGCCTTGAAAGCCTTTCACTCCAAGATTGCCCACATTACCCTCACCCCAACACGCCACCGAAAGGCGCCCCCAAGGCCCACAGCACGTCCCCGAGGGGCCATCAAGGAGGCCTTAGAAAGGCCCCCAAAAAGCCACCACGATGCATCCAAGAGCCACCGAACACACCACCAACGGTCTCCCTAGCGGCTCGACGGCCCAAATTAGCCATCAAACAACGCTTGAAGGAGCCTATGCCATGCATGAGAAAAAAGGAGAGAGAGAGAGAGGAACAAGAAAAATGATACAGAAAACAAGAAAGCAAGAGAGAGAGAGAGGGAGAGAGAGAGAGGGGGGGGAAAGAGAAAGAGAGAGAGGGATAACAAACAGAAAGAGAGAGGGAGAGAGAGAGAGAGAACAAAAACAAACAAAACAAGAGAGAGAGAGAGAGGAGCAAACAGCCTGAAGAGGAGGAGAAGGGGAGGAATGACGGACAAAAGCAACCAAAACGAGACTGCAGATGAAGAGGGGGTGCTCATGCTAAACTGGCGCACAGGCTCGGTGGTGGGGTGCGCCGCAGGGAAATGATTATGGATATGGGTATGGCTATAGATATGGATAGGAATATAGATGTGGATCGGAAGTTGGGGGGGGGCGGACAAGCCAGAAGGCTCTCCAATGGAAGGGTGGCTCCGTGAGAGCAAATGTACAACGCACTCCGCTCTGCGTCATCATTCCCAGAACAACTCGCACGGGGGGGGGGGGCATCAATCCGCAGGCCGAATTGAGCCCCGTACCCCAGCTGGCTCGTCGCGTTGGCTGTTAGATAGAATCAACGGTATCGCTGCTTCTGGAGCATGCTCGGACTGCCATCCTTGTCGCGGAACGACGCGCGGCAACTTGTCTACCGCGCATACAAATTGCGCTTGCGCACTCCACGAGCACCATGCCTTCATGGAACTGAGAAGCACTTAAAGCTACGAGTTCGCCTGCGTTGTATACACCGACAGATTGCATATCGCATTGAGCGCGGTATCGCCGCTGCCGTGCAAGTAATCAGATTCAATGCGCGCCGCTGTCACGACGCGATTGCGCGCCTTCCGGCCCAAATGAGATCCGACAATTAGACACGACGAATCCTGTGCTCAGAAGCCATGGTCTTCCGCAGCGCCTTACCAACATCAATTGCTGTGGCTCCATCGAACCGGTGAAGATTGTACTTGTCGGATGCCCAACCCACGCTTAAGCCCGCGACACACTTCAAAAGAACGGATGGGAATCTAATTCGACAAAGTAGCTAGTTGGTTGCACGAATAGAGTATCTCCGTAACCTGAGCACCCCGCAGCATGACAACGCCATCCTCCTGGGTTCTCCCCGCCACCGTGCGCTCCGTCAAACGATGTAATCACGCACGCAGCCATACCACATAATAGCATGGCGGCACTCGGCGTGCAGACGCATTCTCACAGCAAGGGTCAATACTGATGCGGACACTATATGGACGAACGCGCTTTTGAGCCACATGAAACAAGGCGGACAGACATTGGAGCCGGCTGGGGGGCTGAGGTGGCCCAGCACTGGTTTTCGGCGACCGGGGTCGGTTTTCGGGCCCCAGGGCCGCCAGGAATCGATCCCGTGCGAAACAGCGGCCCGGATGGACCCCAGGAGGAGTCCGGGGACCGATTTTGAATGGATTTGTCCTTATCCCCTCCTCTTGACCGATTTGATGGTGCCCCCTCCAGTTCAGACCCCCCAGCCCCCTCCAAAGCTGAGGCACTTCCACAAAAAAAAAGACCTGGGATGGTGGTAAAAATGTGACAGTGACAGAGAGGGACAAATGGGAGGAGGAGGAGGAGAAGGAGGAGGAGGAGAAGGAGGAGGAGGAAGGAATCGAATGGAAGGATCGAGGAAGGTCGATGGAAATGGGGGGAATCGAAGGAGACCGAGGGGGACCCGCGGGCTGATATAGGATAGATATAGAAGAAGGAGGAGAAAAATCATATTCTTTCTCAAGGGAGAAGGAAAAAGAGGAGGAAAACGAGGAGGAGGAGGCATGAGGAGGAAGGAGAGGCGATAGGCAGTGAGGGACGAGGGAACAGGGGGGAGGCAGGGAGGCACGGAGACGGATGAGGAAGGGATATATGAGGGAGGGGTGAGGGGTAGAGGGAAGAGAAGGGATGAGGAGGTGAAACAAGGAGAAGGAGGGAGGGAAGGGAGAAGGACGGGGATGGAAAAGCATAGTGTGAGGATGGAGGGGGGGTACACCCCCCCGACTGATCTCGGGGCGGGCAGCCCCCAGATCAGCCCTTCTAAAAAATGATCCGCCCTCTCCGAGTGCTTTTTTGGTTGCATTGGACGTCATGAATTGGTTGGAACCTCCTATGGTTTTTTCCATCTGAACCTCTTCGGTGACTCAAAATGGTGCTCACGCTGCAGCGCTGGCATCATTTTAGGATCGGCGCTTTGCCCGCGTCCTTCAGAATGGCGCCCCAGCGTGGGACACTGTTCTGGATCTGCATGTTTTCTCGTCGCTGTCGCCCCGCTCCTTTCCGCTCCCCCGCCTTCCCCTCGTCACCCTGTCACCCTGCCCCTCCCGCTTCTCCCACTCCAGCTCCTTCCTGCTGCTGCTGTGCCTCCTCGTCCCCCTCCTTCCTCATCCATCTCCTCCTCATCATCCGATTATTGCTCCTGCTCATACTCATGCTCATCCGCCACTCCTCATCCACCTCCTCCTCCGCCTCCTCCAAATGTACGCAGCTCCCCTTCTGTAATTACGCATGGCGGCACGGTGGGGCTCCTTGGGGGGAGGACAGGGTCCACCATGACACCCGTCGACAGATAGAGAAAAAATCAAACAATGGGAAGGGATGGGTGGGAGGGGCTGGATGTCACACGTGGTGCGAGCGACCCTTGCTTGTCCACCCCCGTGCCCCTCCTCCTCTCCTCCCCCTGCCCCAACGGCATCCCCTTCCTCTCCCTGCCCCCTCCCCCCCCCTCCTCCCCCTTCCTCCCCCCCCCCTCGCCCTTCCTGCCCCGCCGTCCCCCCCTTCCCCGCTTCCACCATCCCCGCCCTCCCCCTCCCTAGCTTGTCCCCCCTCCCCCGTCCTCCTCCCGCCTCCCTCCCCGAGGTGTCCTGCGGGAACGCCCGCCCGACGCTCTCGAGAACGCAGGGCAGCGTCTCCTCTCGGCCCCGCGGCATGGCCGCGCCGAGGGCGGGAGGTCGCGCCCCCCCCCCCCCCCCCCCCCCCAGCGGGAGGCCCGCCCTGGCGGCCGCCAGCCCTCCGGGAGAGAGGCCGTGGGCAGACAGCGCCGTGGGGCGCCCCTCGCCCTCTCCCCGCCGCCCCGCCGCCTCGCCCCCCCCTCGCCCCGCCGCCCCCTCGCCGTCCCCCGCCGCTTTCCTCGCCCTCGCCCCCCCCCTCTCCCCCTCTCGCCCTCTCGCCCCTTCGCCCCCCTCCCCCCCCCGTCTCCCGCCTCCTGCCTCCCCCTCGCCCCTACCTGGCGCGCAGAGAGCGCCCCTCGCACTCTCCCACCGCCCCCTCTAGAGAAGCAGACGATGACACGAGCAGAAGCTTTCGGAGGTCCGCGCGGATGTCTCGGATCGGCGCTGGACCCCCTCCCTGGCGCGCAGAGCGCGCCATGGGTGACGCCGGAAGCGCCGCCAAGGGGTTCCAGCGCCCCTCCGAGAGGTCCGCGCGGACCTCCGAAAATTTGTGTTCATGTCACTGCTTGTTCCCCGACCCTCGCTTCTCACGAGCGGCAAACGTATCCGAATCCGCGCCCTCGCGGTCTGATTTCCGGGGCGCGATCCCGCGGGTACGCTTCGCGCCGGGCATCCAAACGCCCTGCATCCGCGGGGGCCGCGCCCCAGAGGCACAGCCCACGAGGCTGCAGATACGGACATGCTTTTCGCCAGCGAGCCCCTCCCTGGCCCGCCGTGTGGGGACACGGTTTTCGGTATGCAGCGAGTTGGGTCCAGCAAGCGGTCGGGCAACGGCAAGACGCGTCCGTACCCAAATCACGGCGAAAGCAAGAGGGCAACAGGGGAGGAGGAAGCGGCCGCAGAACGGCCAGGGAGCTCTCAGACCACACAGACGTTCAAGCGGCGCAGGGGGTCAGGCGCTCAGGGTTGTGGAGGGGGGGACACGACGCACGTGCCCACATTTCGGGAGCGGCCAAGAGGGGGGCGTCCAAGAGGGGGGGGTGCAAATCATGGCCGGCGGCATGTGCGCGGCCCAGGGGGAGGGCCAGGGACGTAATGGAATAAGAGAAGGCGCCATGACATCTGGGGAGATGTCATGACCCCCGCCATCATATCCACCCCCCCCCTACTCATCACCCCCCTCTCTGCCGCCCCCGAACATTCCTTCCGCGACTCCTGCCCATCTGGAGCTGCCGGGGCGGAGCGAGCGAGTGCGTGAATGCTCTGGCCACCGACTCGCCCCCGGGGGCGGCGTGCGCGCGCGCCGTGGGCCCCCGTGGTCTGGGCGTCGGTGGGAGCTGCTGGGCGCGGACGGTGCGCCCGCGTGTCCGGGGGGAGGAGCGGAAGAGGCACGGGGACGGGTGGGGGGGGGGGGAGGGGCAGTCTGGGCGAGCCCGCGCCATCACTGGCACTCTCTCTCCCCCCTTGCCACCCAGCCTCTTTGCTCCGCGTGGCGCTCGGTTCTCTTCTCTCCACCACCTGGGCTGTCATAGATGGGCGTGGTCCTCAGACGAAGCCCACCGTGTGCTGCGCAATCGGAAAACGGGGGCTTCTTACGCCGGATGACAAAGGGATGAGGCGGAGGAGGAGGAGGAGGAGGAGGAGGAGGAGTTGGAGGATAAAAGATGAGCAAGAACAAACAGCGAAGGGCACCGCCGAACACATCGGATCCAGAAGTGCGACGCACGCTGGGGCGAGAGCGCAAATGTGAACTGCGGGGGCAGAGCGCCGATCCAGAAATGCGACCACCGCTGCGGTGGGAACATCGCTGTTAGTTCCAGGCAATCCGATTGAACGAAAACATCAGAGCACCAAGTAAACGTTTGAAATCCTGTGAATGCACCATCTGCGGGCGTGGGGCAGCCCAGCACAAGACAGCATCAGGCAAGAGATGCGGGTAGTACCATGTTTAAAAATTGCGGAGTGGGGGGAAGGAGGAGGGGGGTAGGAGAGGGGGGTAACTGGTGGAGGAACCTGGTGGTTCCCCGGGCAGAACGCCGCCATGCGCTCGAGTAAAATGGGCGTATGGGAAAAGAGAAGGGGGTGGGGGGGGAGGGGAAGAAGGGGGGAAGAGCTTTTGAAATAACAACCTCTTGAGCGACCCCCTCTCCAGAGGACTGTCAGCGGGGGGCATGGAACCGCTCCACCGCCGCCGTGGGAGACTTCACCACACCAGGCCCCACGACAATGAACGGGTCCACGACGAGCACAACTAGGGCTACCTGCGGGCCCGCGCCTCCGCCAGCCGCATCTTGCGGAAGCGCCTTCGCTTCTCCTCCGCCCTGGAGAAGAGAACACCACCGAGGCCGCAAGACCCGACGGCCGCGCCGCCGCCACCGCGCTCGCGCCACCAGCCGCCGCAGCCGAGCCACCGCCACCGGGAGGACCAGCACCAGAGGGAACGGCAGCCTTCGCGCGCCCGGGCGCCACCGGCGCCCCCGGCGCCGCCGCCGCGCCCGCCCCCGCTGCTGCGCCGCCCTCTGCGGCCGCGAGCCCTGCGCCGCCGCCAGGGAGGCGCGCCGGGCGCATCCGCCGCCGCCTCCCGGGGAGGCCGCGCCGCGAGCGGGGCCTCAAGCTCGGCCACCGCGGCGCGCAGCAGGCTCTCGGCCGCGCGCACGCGCCGCGCCCCCGAGCGGGACTGCCCTGGGGGCCGCTGGCGGCGTGGGCCGCCAGCGGAGCGCCGCGCGCAGCCCCCAGGTCGGCGCGGCGTCCGTCGGTCGCACCTGGCATCAGCACGGCGGCGGCAGGGCGAGCGGCGGGCGCACGAGCTTGGGCCAGAGGTGCTAAGGGAGGGGGGAGAAAGGGGGAAGGGGGGGGGAATGGAGGAGCAGGGAGGAGCAAGGGGTGCGGAGGGGGAAGGAGAATCGTAGAAACCACCACACAACCCAGCTCACCGCCAGGGGAGGGGAGGATGGGGGGGAGAGGAGAGGGGCGACGGGAGGAGGACGCCTCGCCCCCCTCCATCCTCCCTCTCCTCCCCGAGGCCCACCCGGCCCCTCCTGGACGTACCTGGTGGGCACGCCAGCGATGAGCCTGAAGATGGCCTCCACGAAGCCAGGGCAGACCTGGCCCCGTGCACCCGCCCACACGTGGAGGATGGATGGGGGGAGGGACGAGGACGAGGAGGGGGGAAGAGGAGAAACAGAAGCAGGAGCGGCAGCAGGATGAACGGGGGCAGGAGGGGCAGCAGCCAGGGTCTGTGACTGCCGCTCAGGGCTTCACCGTACAGGAAGAGCCTGCAGCTCGACATGTCCAACAACTGCACGGGCGTAGACGGCTTCCTTCTCGCAGTCGAGCCCTTTCGCCCGGGACCTCGTGAAGTTGTATGACGCATTTGTTGCCGAACATATCACGGTGGAGCCCGCTGCGAACGAAGCGGCTCCTTAAAATGCGGGCAAGATAATAATCCACATCCGCGGCGTCTCGAATTGTTTGGGAAGGCAGCGGATATGGATAGCAGTCTGGTTTCTCTAAATGCAGCGTTTGTGTCATATCCACTGCTACTCGGGCTGCCTGGAAAGAGAGCCCGAGAATCCGAGACGCAGTGGATACGAATATACAACGTGCCCGCATCAAAACAAGCGCTGCTGCCACGGCGCCGCGCGAACTTCGCCCAGAACCTCTACGAGGTGCGCGGGCGCAGGCGGTGTCCCCTCTCTAACTCACCGTGTCTCGTAACGCTACGCGGTCGAACATGAAGGGAACGTTGGTGTGCAATCCAAGGACAAGAGCCATCGCGCGTGCGCTCTGGCTCTACCTGTTTCGGACATGATGCATCAAGCAAGAAAGGGACCAGCGGGGCCCAAAGCCAACGCTTTCGTTGCTGAGCGGGCAACTCGGATTGGTCCTCGTTTTGGGGCGAAGAAGGGTGCACATCTGATTACCCGCCATCGCTCGGACGTCCATTCCCCGTGCATGTTTCGGTTTCGTCTGTGCCTTTACACACACAAAAAAGGATGCTCCTCTCTGTTTTAAACTCAGCGCCCTCATAGCCCTCAGTGCGCAGGCAGGTGGCTGGCGGCCACTGCGTGGTTCCCAACAACTCCCGCATAGGAGGTGGGTGATGGCATGGAACGAACCGAACCAGCCTCCTACCAAGAGGGCAGGAAAAAAACCGTTATTTGCCGGTCAGATCACAACAAGTGCAACATCATGTCAACTCTGAATGGAAGGATTCTGAAAGCAACTACACGTCAACACAAGTACAATAGAATAGGCATTACCTTGGTCTTGGGATCCTCGTTTGGTCTCGGACTGAGTATGCCCAACTATGCGGGCACCCCGGGCCCAGTTCGCCCTCAGCGTTTCGGCGTGTGGTTGGCCGTCCTCTTCAGGACCTGCCACAACCAACCACACGGGGCAGGCCGACGCTGTCACGAACGACATCCCTGTTGCCTCTGTGACTCCTTCGTACACACCAAAGTTGCCAGAAGATGTCAAGCAAAGTTATTGGAACCTGCTGTTTTGGCCTTCGAAGAAGGGAGGGAACAACTAAAACGCGAGCCCGCAGTTTCGCGCAGAGCACGCACCAGGGCCTTCCTACTGTAAGGCAGCCTGATAAGCCGACTGGCCATAAGGAGGGCACGAGGAAGAATAGGGCTTTCCCTCTCTTCCTCCGCCTCCAGCTCATCTCGAACTCCTACAGACACATACTTACCGGAGGGCGGCTTAGATTCGGGGGCAGGGGCGGAAAGTCCAAGTAGCACACGACATCTTTTCCACGAAATGGGCGGGCAGGCGCCATCGCGCGACAAACAAAGGGGCCAAGAGTAGCAAACACACAGAGCTCCCACCGACACAGCGATCGACGTATCAAACGGCAATGCGCAGCGGAACCCGGGGGGAGCACGCCAAGACCCTGAACTGGCATACTGGCGCGGCTGAGACGGCGTGATCCCATTGACCTCAGGCGGGCTGCGCCAAACCACGGGTTCTGCAAGGCAGTCGGGAAGTGGCCAGCGGGAGCGGCGGCCAGCGGCGGGAAGGGCAAGCGGCCGATGCTTCTGAGCCTCTCGCAAGCGGGCCACGTACAGACGGCACAGAGGAGCTTGGGGCGCGGGGCACTTCAGGTGCGGCCATCGCCGCTGTCCTCGCGCACCCCGCCCAGCCGGCTAGGTGCAGGTTCGTCTGCGGCCTTTTTGCGCGGATGGCACTGGCGATGCCAGTACGTACATACCTACGTACACCCAGCGGGTAGCAAAATGTATGTCTGTACCGTACCTGCCAGAAGTCTCGGGCGAGCGAGCACGTACAGACAATTCGGATGCGTCGCCGCGGTCCCCGTAGTCGGCCAAGAGGGCACTCGCGCCCGCGTGGCGCTCCAAGAGAGCGCGGCAACGCACTGACCGAAACGATTGGACCTGACCCGTGCACCCCCAATGTTCCCTCCTCTATTTGCTGCCCCCTTTCTCCCTGTGTGCCTGCTCATTGCCCGAGGCGTCCTGCGATTGAGCGACCACCCTCTCACCCCCGAAGCTGTAAAGCTCGCCTTGGCAGCGGCGGCGGCTTGACTGAGGGAAAGCTCGCCATAGCAGTGGGGGCGGCTTGATTGCGGGGCGGCGGCGTTGATTCCAGAACGCCCTAGGATAGTGACGCCAAATCCCTGTCGCTTCCACCGAATGCGATCGCCCGCTCAGGATGGCGGCCGTAACAGCGTGCCCAGCACATGGTTCTGAGCCTGTCCGATACACAACCACCACCACCACCTCCTCGTGCTCCTCCTACTCCTCCTCCTCCTCTTCCTCCTCCTCCTCCTCCTCCTCCTCCTCCTCCCACTCCTCCTCCTCCTCCTCCTCCTCCTCATCCCCCTCCTCCCTCCTCCTCCTCCCTCCTCCTCCTCCCTCCTCCTCCTCCTCCTCCTCTTCCTTCTCCTCCTCCTCCTCCTTCTTCTCCTCCTCCTCCTCCTCCTCCTTCTCCTCCTCTTCTTTTCAGTAAAGAAGCTGATCCGTTTGACTCGTCGAAATTGAGCAGCGCTGAAGTTGAGTCAAAGGGAAACCCCTTCCCTTTGATCCCTTCTCCATCGGGTGGGGGGGGTCCGGGGGAGGTCCCGGGGCAGTTGCGACTCCCCCTCGGGCGGTTCGGGGACCCAAGAAAGTCCCAAGACGCTGCAAAAGTGGCCCAAGATGTCCCCAAGACGGTCGTCGAGGGCCCAAAATCGCCGAAATATCTACCCAAATCGCCTCCAGACGGCTCAAAAGATTTGCACAACGCCCCAAGAGGCCTCCATGAGAACTCGCAAGACGGCCCCAAGGGGCAAAGAACGTAGATGTCTTATGTTTTTGGAAGATTTCAGCATTCTCGCCTTGTCAGCTTCCCGACGCTCCAAGACAGGCCGAGAAGCCTCCAAGACGGCCCCAAGATGGCTCAGGAGGCCTCCAAGAGAGCTCCACAACGACCCTAGAAGGCCCCAAGACCGCCCAAGAGGCCTCCAAGACAGCCGGGGAGGCCCCCAAGACGGCTCCAAGAGGGATCCCAGACGGGGGTCCCTCGGCCTGAGAAGCTCTCAGGAAGCCCCCAGAGGCCCCTCAGAAGCCCCCCAAGAGGCCCCAGGAGGCCCCCAAGAGAGAAAGCCCCACGAGGCCCCACGAGGCTCCCAAGCAGCTCCCAAGATCATCCCAAGAGGCCCCCAAACTACCCCCAAGAGACCCCCAAGAGCGCTCGCCGTCGTCGTCGTCGTCATTCAGGGTCGGCGGCACCGGCCGTAAGGCCTTCGCAAGAACTTCCCCCTGTCGCACCCCGAGGTCAGTTTTCTGTGGCGGTCCAGGCGTTTCGCCTGAGACTTCCTCACCACTTATGACTCTGAAGCTAAAAAATTGGCAACAGCTTCGCAGATGGAGGGCGGGTGGTTTTCAATATGTGGCTCTCGCCTTAGCGCGGCGCACATTCGTCTTCATCGGTGTTGCAAAAATTTCACGGACTGAGGGCGGGGGGATTTGACAATGTGGCGCTCGCCGTAGCGCGGCGCACATTCGTTTTTGACATGTGCAAGAGCTTCACGGATTGAGGGCGGGTCGCTTTCAAACTGCGTCCTTCGCCTAAGCGCGGCGCACACTCGTGTTAAACATGTCCCAGAGCTTCACGGATTGAGGGTGGTTTCTTTTCAACATGTGGCTCTCGCCTTAGCGCCGAACACATTCGTTTACAATATTTGCAAGCGCTTCACGGGCTCCTATCATCAACGTACCAAAACAATGTGGTTTGAAAATGTTCAGGACCATGCGGGTCCAACAGTTACGTTGGTTCGCTGTGTTCAAATCCCAGGAATAGCGTTCTGGCACGATTCAAGATCGTTAAGACGCAACAGTCAGGTTCATCCGTGGCGTTGGAATCCCGAGAAAAATGTTTTGGCATGCTTCAGGGTCTTCAGACGGTTGACTTCGAACGAGGCACCTACCTCAACGGACATGAAAGGTTGCAGGGGCCTATGAAGAGGGAGCGTGGAGGGAGGGTTGAGTCCAACATCGATGATGACTTTTGGGTTTGCACTGGTCCTCCTCTTCTCCTCCTCCTCCTCCTCCTCCTCCTCCTCCTCCTCCCCCTCCCCCTCCTCCTCCTCCTCCTCCTCCTCCTCCTCCTCCTCCTCCTCCTCCTCCCCCTCCTCTTACCCAACCTCCTCCTCCTCCTCCTCCTCATCCTCCTCCTTCTCCCCCTTTCCATATGAATGACCCAACATGGACGAGACGGGTCCTGAAGGAAACAGGTCCCCAGGGCGTTCACGGGGGACCAACTGTTTATCCCCAGTCATTCTTGGACGGCCTCGGGGGCCCGAAAACGGCGACTGGAACCTCCAGGGGCCCGCTTTCCTATAAACCCATATGCTTCGTGGCGGCCCTGCCTCCCTCCTCTCCTCCCCCCTCCTCATCCTCCATCACTCCCTTCCATCCTCCTCCTCCCCTCCTCCTCCTCCTGGTGTTCCCCTCCTACCTCCCTCCCTCCCTCTCTCCCTCCTCCACTCTTCCTCCTCCTTGGCAAGCGTCCTCACCCGTCGCGCCCCCGCGCCCGGCCTGGCGCCCTCGGTCGCGCGCGAGGGGGGCGGACGAGGGGAGGGGAAGCCGCGCCGCGGAAGGGGGCGCAAGGTCTCCAGCCGATGCCCGCAAGAGCTTTCGCCTCGGATCGGTTTGTCGATGGATACGCCGAACTCTTCCCTTCGGTGGCAACTCACGGGGGCCTCCCGTACCATCTTGTTGACTCTTGCGAATCGACGCAAGTCGGCGCTAGTCGGCGCTGAATCAACGCGGACCGATGCGGATCGACGCTAGATCGGCGCTCTCTCGTGGACTACAGAAAGCTGGTCGACGCTAGTGCGTTCTGAGGACGGGATGGCGAAGGTCTACAGGGCTCCCATGATTTGCAGCCGAACCTCTGTTGCTCAAAGGAGCAGAAGGAAAAACGATGCCACCACCATCGCGAGGAGCCAGGGAGAGTCTTGCCACTGGCGCTGTCCGCCTGTCTCGCGGCGCCCTGGTCCAGACGTCTCCCGACTCCAGCTCGGGGGGGGCAGGGCCCGCTGATGCCACCTTGCCTGGCATGACAGAAGCGGGTCCTGGAGGTAACCAGTCCTGGAATTGTTTCGCCACTTTTGGAACCCTGGGGTCCTCCACGGGCTTTGGCGCTGCCCAGAGACGACTCAAGCTCCGTAGTTGTGTCCGCCGTTTGTTGCCCAAGCCCAGCTGCAAGACGGCATCTGTAAGTAGCTCCTGCTCGGTTGGGGGGTCTTGTTTCATGTGTAATGCCATGTGGCAAACGGTGCCCTGCGGGCGCCCTCCAATCCGGCTCCCTCCCGTTCCTATGGGCTCGACGAGAGTAGCCGCTTGCGGTCAAAATCCTCTGCTTCTCTCCCTCCTACTCAACCTCGCTCTGCGCCTTCTTTATCCTGCTCATCATGATCCCCCTCCTCCACCTCGATATCATCCTGCTCATCATCATCCTCCTCTCAATCCTCTTCTTTCTTCTCCTCCTCCTCCTCCTCCTCGTCTTCCCCCTCCTCCTGATCCTCATCCTCATCCTCTTCCTGCTCCTCCTCCTCCTCCTCCTCATCATCATCATCATCATCATCATCAGCAGCATCAGCATCAGCACGATAATAATAATAATAATAATGATCATCATCATCATCATCATCAGCAGCAGCAGCAGCATCATCAGCATCAGCGTGATCATCAGCAGCAGCAAAATCCAGCATCGTCTTCATCATCGTCAGCATCAGCATCATCACCACCATCATCATCAGCATCAACAGCATCATCAATATCATCAGAATCATCATCATCATCCTCATTATCAGCATCATCTGCATCAGTATCAACATCAATATCATTATCAATCACATCATCATTATCATCATCGTCCGTGTCATCATCATCAGCATCAGCATCATCATCATCATTATCAGTCTCAGCATCATCATCATCAGCATCATCAGCAGAAGCATCCTCAGCAGCAGCATCATCGCCATCATCATCAACATCAACAGTATCACCATCGTCACCACCGTCATCAGCAGCAGCATCAGCATCATACTCATCGTCAGCATCAGCATGCGCATCAGCATCATCACCACCATCGTCATCATCGTCATCACCAGTAGCATCATATTCGTCGATATCATCATCAGCAACATCAGCATCATCACCGCCATCACCGTCATCAACATGAACATCGCCAGCATTATCAGCATCATCATTATCATCAGCATCAGCATGATCATGATCATCATCATCATCATCGCAAGCATCATACGCATCATCAGCATCATCCGCAGCGGCAGCATCATCAACATAACCAGCAGCATCGTCATCATTATCAGTATCACCACGTTCATCACCATCATCATCAGCAGCAACATCATCCTCATCCTCATCCTCATTCTCACCCTCCTCTCCACCTCCCCCTCTCCCTCCCTCTTCGCCTTTCCCCAACTCCTTCCCACTTGCGAATACTACTCTCCTCTCTTTCTCTCCTAACTCCGTGCGGAAGATTCACGCACTCTCCGCGTGCTGTTTTCACAAAGGAGTTCAATAGCATCTCACGAAATTGTAGTTCTACAATCCGGGTGCCGCAGGTACGTCAACATGGTGTCCCCGCTGCAGCGTGAAACTCCTTGTCGGATCGGCGCGTTACTCCCGTCGTTCAGAATGGTGGTCTCGACGAAGCGCGGGTCACATTTCTAGATCATCAAATCTTGTTTCATGGTTGTCGTCCCCTTCATGTCCCCTCATTCCCCTGGTCCTCCGGCTCCTTTCGCTCCTTCCACTCCAATTCCTGCTGCTGGTGTTGCTGCTGCTGCTACTGTTCGCCCTCGTCCTCCCCCTTCCACGTCCTCCTCCTCCGCCTGCTCCTCCTGCTCCTCCTGGTCATCCTCCTGCGCATCCGTCACCTCCTCCTCCTCCTCCTCCTCCTCCTCCTCCTCCTGCTCCTGCTCCTGTTCCTCCTCCTCCTCGTCTTCCTATGCACGCAGCTTCCCGATGCCGAGTCCGCATAACACGATGGGGTATTGTTGTTGGAGTGTCAAGTCGGTTATGGCACGCGTCCGCGCATAAAGAAAACATCAGCGCAATGGAAAAGAAGGGAATGATGTCAGATGAGGCGAGAGCGCACCTAACTTGCCCCCCCTCTTCCCTCTCCGCCTGCTTCCTCCTCCTCCTGCTTCCTCTCCGCGTTGCTTCACCAACTCCTCCTCCCCCTCCTCCTCCCCCTCCTGCTCCTGGTTCTGGTCCTGCTTCTGATCCAGATCCAGCTTCTGCTCCTCCTGCTCCTCCTTCTCCTCCTCCTGCTCCTACTCCTCCTTCTTCCCCGAAGAGGACAAAGAGGACGACGACGAAGACGACGACGACAGTACATAGACCCCCCCCCTGCCCGTGAGGAGGGGATGCGCCGGGCCTGAAGCGCGTGAGGCCTCAGCATCTGCCCGTGCTGCACCTGGCCCCGTCGGTGGGGCCGACAGGGGGGAGGGGAGGGGAGGAGGAGAGGGAGGAGGGGTGAGGAGGAGAGGGGGGAGAGGGAGGAGGGCAAGCTAGGTGCGCTCGCGCCTCATCTGACATCCTACCCCTCCCTCACGTCCCTTCCCATGGCGCTTATTTTCTCTATCCGCGGACGTGTGTCATAGCCAACCTGCGGCGCATAAAGAAAAAACACTTCGCATTATGTGCAGTCGGACAAATGGGAGCTGTGCGCATAGGAAAACGAAGCGGCGGGTGATCGGGAGAAAAAAAGACGAGGACGGATAGCAGCAGCAGGACCTAAAAGCAGAACGATTTGGAGGGAAAGGAGAACCAGGGAAAGACGGAGGAGGGGAAATGAGGGCGGCGACAACGATCAAAAAAGACTTGGATTCAGAAAAGTGCCCCGCGTCGCGCTGTAGTGAGACGAACAGCAGCAGTAGGAATTGGAGTGGAAGGAGCGGGAGGAACAGGAGCACCAGGGGAAGGCGGAGAAGGGGCAATGATGGGGGGACTACAATGAAGCAAGACTCGGATCAAGAAAAGTGGCCCGCGCTGACTGGGGCGAGAGCGCCATTCTGAACGACGGGAGCAACGCACCGATCAGAACATTAGGCCCACGCTGCAGCGGGAACACCATTTTGAAGCACCGAAATCAGTTGGATTGTGAAAAACAACTGTGACTTTTGAGATCCTGTGTAAAAACATCACGCGGAAGGGGCAGGAGATCTTCTGGACACCTTCAGGAGAGGAGGGAGACTAGTAATCATATTGCTTTTGCTGAATTGTGGAGGAGGAGGAGGATGAGAGGGAGGAGAGGGAGGAGAGGGAGGAGGGGGAGGAGGGGGAGAAGGGGGGAGAGGAGGGGGAGGGAGGAGAGGGGGCAAAGGGGAGGAGGATGGAAGAGGGGGAGGAGGGGCGGGGCTCGAGGACCGAGGATCGGGTTGGGGGTCCCACAGAGGCGGGGTCACAGGTCGTGCGGTGACCTCGAAATCGCCCAGGCCGTGCGGTTCGGTCAGACGAACAAAATCGTCGTCGTCGTCGCCGCCAATGCCGCCGCCGTGGCCGTCGCCGTCGCCGTCGCCGTCGTCGTCGTCGTCGTCGTCGCCGTCTTCGCCGCCGCCCGCGCCGCCGTCGGTGTCGTCGTCGTCGTCGTCGTCGTCGGTGTCGTCTTCGTCGTCAATGTTGTCGTCGTCGTCGTCGTAGGTGTCGTCGTGGTCGTCGTCGGTGTCGTCGTCGTCGTCGGTGTCGTCGTCGTCGTCGTTCAGGATCGGCGGCACCGGCCGTAAGGCCTCTCCAATCAACTGCACCAACATCCGCCATCACGAATTGCAGCGGATAGTGTGGGACGGGCACTTTCGCTTGTTGCGAAGCCAGCGCATCGGATCCCAGGATAAGCTCATTGTTGTGGCCGAATCCCCGCTATTCGGGCACTCCAGGAAGACAATTGCCCCGAAAACAAAGCCTGGGGAAGGGATGTTCTGTGGTCTTCACCCCACCCCCCCCCCAAGGCCCCCCCCCGCGCCCGCCCGAGCGCGGAGGCGGAATCAAGCGGCAGCGCAACTGAATGAACCTTCGGAGGCCAGAGCGGAGTTCTTCGGTCGGCGCTGGGTCCCCCTTCCCTGGCGCGCCAGGCGTGGTGCCAGAGACGCCGCCAGGGGGGTCCCGGCGCCAACCGAAGAAATCCTCGCGGGCCTCCGAAATCTTGTGCTTATTTTTGCTGTAAATCTACATGCGCACATGAATCTTGCATCTGTTAACACATGGATGCGTACGCATACAGACATGACTGTACATACATATGTATAGATCGCGGGCCTCCGAAACCTTATATTATATATAAAGAGAGAGAGAGAGAGAGAGAGAGGAAAACAAAAAGAGAGAGAGAGAGAGAGCTCTGCGTCTGGTTGGCGCTCTTTAGCCCTTCGGGAGGCTTGTCGTCGTCGCCACGGCTGGATACGCCTCGAAAGTATGGCGAGCGCGTGCCACAGGAGGTGTTTGCTGGGCGGCTTCTGGAAGAGAGGGCAAGAGAGGGGGAGTGCCAAGTGTTGCCCATGCGTTCGGAGACTGGCTGGACGTGTTGGTTGTACATCTTCGAGCTCTGCCTGACCACCCAGAACGTCTGGGGACCTCCCCTCTGGGGATCAGGCTCGGGGCCTCAGCAAATTTGCCAGGAAGACGGGAAGCTTCCCTTCTCACCATCATCTTCCTCCGCTGCTCTGTCGGGTTCTTCTGAGATGATCTCGCCCACCAGGGAAGTGCAGAATGCAGCGCGCGAGGAATTAGTGAACAGGTGATGGCGTGACTGCGTTTGCGTCATGCCCATCGTTCGCCACCCTCCCAGCCACTTGCGCCTCCTCATTCTCCTCTTCACCCAAGTTAGTTTCCTCACCCTGCTCTCTCCTTCTCATCGCCGTCCCCTTTTTGCTGTTTCCCTCAGCCTTGCGGGCGTCGTGTCGCTGTCCAGGCCTTACAGTCTCCGCCACGAGGTTCAGCACGGCCTCAACGAACGCGATGATGGCCTCGTACCCGCACCCCTCCCTGGACCTCCGACATCGTGATCTGCCCAGCATCCCAGCACGTCCGCCCCACTTCGGCGCCTGGAGACGTGTCAGGGCCCCATGGGCCCCGCGACGAAGCCCCGACCCTAGGGAATGGGTCGAGACCATTTCGGGAGCTCCTGCCTGACGAGCAAGAATGCAAGACGCCCGAGGCCTGAGGCGCTTTCGCTCAGGTGGCACCGCAAGCCACCGAAGCTTAAAAACATCCTTGGGTGCGACCAATGCAACGCAGCCCACCATCCGAACAAAGCCGAAAAACAAGCCACATTACGACGTACGCGCGCACGCGCACACATTTATAGCTGAAACATGGTCACACGAACGTGTGCTGAGAACCTGAGCCCCATTCGCCGAGAGCCGAATGCCCTACGGAGATACCCCGAACACAGAGCATTGCAAGGTGGAGAAAGCACACAGAAAGAACAGAAGTCCCCCACTCCAAAGCCAGGGTGGATCTTGAGCCTCGCTCCAGATGCATACGCTATGTCGCCGCGCCGTTTGTTCTCGGCGTGCCCAAGTGGACGACGCCGAGACCACAGCAAACTCACGGCAAGCCCTGCGTACCGCGCCCGAAGAAGACGAAGTTGGCGCCGCGGCAAGCCCACGGCAAACCCACCGCGCCAGAGGTGGCGTTTGCCCTGGTGCCCGCGGCGCCCTCCCCGAGACACAGGGCCGCGCGTCGGAACAAACGGCGCGGCGACATAGAGAGAAAATAAGTGGGTAAATCCCATCCTCCAAACCAGGGTGGATCTAGAACCTCGCTCCAGCTGCACATGCAGGCGAACCGCTTGTTCTCAGGAGTGCACCTCACGCACCCGGAATCGAATCGAGAAGTCGGATGGGCGATCGAAATGAATCGGATCGGCGGAAATCGGCAGCCAATGTCGGGAAAGGTCGAATCGGAGGAGATCGGCAGGCTAGCAGGCCTCCATTGAGAAATCGAAGCCCGGATCGGAATCCGAAGTCGAATCGAACCGGACTCGGAAGCCATCGAATCGGGCCGAATCGAATCGGAGGAGTCGAAATGAGCCCTGCCAAGGTGGATCTTGACCCTCGCTCCAGCTGCGCATGCAGACGAACCGCTCTTTCTGGAGGGGCCCTGGGGCACACAAATAAATACACACAATTAAAAGGATTCACAATATTTCTTATATTTTCTGGGTTGTCGTCTTCCCCCCCACTTCCCATATTTTCCCATATTTTCTCGGGAGTCGAGGATAAATTGTGTCTGCGTGTTTCTTTCCCCTCCTGACTTTCTCAGGAGGGAGCCTCCGTCCGTGGAGGCGCCGCAGCAGGAGCTCGACCACTAGAAACCTTCATCGAGAAACCCAAACCCGAAACCCTGGGATGTCTAGTGATTTTGTACGGGAACGTCGCGCTTTCCATAGCAAAACCACCGAACCCCAAGAAACTCAGGGCACCCTGGAGGCAAGCAGGGTGCTTCTTGGCATGGTTATCCATTGTATGCACCGATGCCGCTTCTCCCCAAACCTCGCCAGGCGTGCGTTCCGACCAAGGTTCTGAGGCGAATCCAGCCGTGGCGACGAGGGAAGGACGGCGGTATCGGCAACTTCTCCTCCTCTGAGGATGCGCGCCCACCCTCTGTGGAGCCCTGGTCGGGCTCCTGTGTGTCCCATGCGGGACTCAAGAGCGCCAGAGGGCTGCGCCAAGTGCGACGACTGGCCGCATGCGCGCCTGCGCTGGGGCCGCTGCCATGAGGCCTCACTGTGGGGCACGAGATGGAACATGCGGTTGCGATGGTGACGGCGCGTGATGCCCAGGTAGTCTCAGGAGGGGACCAGGCAAAACAAGCATACGGCTTCGAAGGTCCGCGCGGGCTCCTCTCGATGATCCTCAGAACGTGCTGTTGGCGCCCACGTGCGTTTTCAACCGAAGCCCTTCAATACGACACGGGCATTGGAACGGAGGCCGACGCAGGCTGCGCGCTACCGGCGGAGCCGAAACGGGTAGACAAAGCGTGCTGTCGCGGACCTGGCGAGCGCGCAGCTCGGTCGAGCAGCCCAGGGAGACTGGAAGCTTAGCATGGGAGGACCAGGTCCTGAAGGAAACGGGCTCTGGACCCCGGGGCCTTCCCCCAACGACTTCTTCCTCCCGGGTTGTTTTCTGATCGCCCCGGGGCCCGTGGGAGGGCCCGAGGAGCCAGAAACGGCGAACAACCTCAGGACACGTCTCCCTCAGGACCCGCTTCCCCCACGCATAGGGCTCCGTGGCCAGGCACGCCACCGCGGCTGGCCCCTCGAGCGGCCCCACCTCTGGCCCTGCTGCCCGAGGACCGCTGTGGGCCGCCGACCGCGGAAGACCGCCGAACGTTAGGGGGCTCCGGGGAGGATGCGTCGACCCCCAATCGCGCGGCCCCATTGCGAGGAAGAGGGCAATCCAACCCACACTCGGGCGAGCACGCGTCCCGAGGACCCTCGACCTCCGGGTCGGCGAGCCCTCTCCCCGCTCCCCGGCGCGCTCCCGAGCGCAGGGGAGGTGCCCGAGGCGAGGCGGCGCCGCAGGGGGTCGCGCCACGGCCCGAGAAAGTTTGCGCTGAGCTCTGCAAGTGCACGGCCGGACCTGAGACAGAAGAGAAGTCTTCAAGACCACGAGACCTTTTTACAACAAAAGCGTGCTTCACAACCTGTCTCGCCGCGCGGTGCCAGCAAGCTGCTCACCGCACACTGCCCGCCCAGCCTCCCTGGGAGCCTCTGGAGCGCGAGCCACATGCAAAAGAGCTCGGGGCCGTGCCTTGGCTCCCTCGCTCGCCCCGCGCCTCGCCCCCCAAACAAAAAACAGGCGAGGCTCGGCGCGGCCCTGCCCCCGAGGTGGCGCACGCCCGAAGCGGGAGAGGCCGCTGTCGCCACGCCTCTCCAGAGGGCATCTGGCAGAGCACGCTCTGCGAGCGCCAACAGGCTAACACTCTACACCGCCATGGGTCGGGAGCGGCTGCTTTCGCCATGCCTGCTCTTTCCTCGCTCACACCAAGAACATGAGACACTTCGCCGGCCAAACTGAAGAACATTCGAGGGTGCTCTCCCCCAGGACGCACGAGAACAAACATCCAACAAACACGAAGAACCTTCGGGTACCCTCCCCGAACCGACCTCGACCTCATATCTCGGTCCGACCGTATGTTCATGCAGTGTTGCTGTCCCTCGAGGGCTAGCGGCGCGCACAAGATCGGGAGGAGGGAGGAGGCGGCGACGACGGCGGAGCTCTGCGGGCACGGTCAACCCGCACAATAAGGGTGTACGACAAGAATGCAAGGGTCTTGAAGGCCGTGTCGACACTTTGCGAACGGGGCGCGGCCAGCGACAACGGCCAAGGATGGACGGAAGTGGAATGTTGCAAGGGTAACATTGGAAAATTGTTCATCCTTACTATGCGGGTTGACTGCACACGAGCCAGACAGCCTGGAGTGCGTTACGCAAGCGGTGCGTGCGCACGTTGCGGGGGGCCTCGAGCGCACCTCGGCGCATCCAGCTCTGGAGATATCCCTGGGACCAGGCCGCGCTCGAAATCATGGCAGACGTACGTTTACGGCTTTTGTCTTCACGGGAAGCGGCGCGAGAAACAGAGCCGTCCACGGCGACCGCAGGACCAATAAAGGCGACCGAGCCGACGGGCGATGCCGAGACCGACCGAGACCCACGGGCCGCAAGCAGCCTGGGAAGGGCGCAGCGACGCAAGAGGAATCCCGCACACCAGCCTGCGAGGCGGAGAATTATCCATAACCGCCGCCTTGGGAATCGATGCTCAGGGGCAAGCGGTGGATGTGGGCATCTCCAACACTCCCCGGGGGGCCGAACATACCCATGTCCATCGCCTGCCGAGGTCCCCGAAGGTCAATCCCCCAGGCGGTGGCATGGATAAGCCCCAGCCTCGGACAAGCGACCGAGCCGAGCCGACCGAGCGACGCCGTCCCGCGGCGCGGGGGCCCCTCGAGGGGGCGCGAGGCGAGGAGCGCGCGGGGTGCAGCTGAGAGGCCTCAGCCTCGGAGCGGGCGGCGGGCGGCAGCGGGACGGGAACTGCGGGGCGAGACGGGTATGAGCCTGGGGCGCACAAGGACGTGCTGCGCAACATTAGAGGAGGCCTCCAAAATGGGGTCCGAGCAGATGCGGTCGGAGGGTCGCGCCGCGTCGCCGATGGCGATGCATCGGCGACGTCGGCGGCGCATCGGCGACGTCGACGCTGACAAAATCGGGCTCCACATCGATCCGCATCTGCGATGCATCGGCAATGCAACGCGTTCCTCCGACCCCATCCACTGGCACCCCAACTGGGAGGCCTGGCATCGTGCGCTTCTGTTGGGGACGCACCTCCGACCCGAACATCTGGCACGCCGTCATTCGGATGATCTCGCTAGCCAGGCGGTATGGCCAGAAGGCGCCCGCCAGGGCGCAAGTAAGTACTAGACGTGTGAGCTTGCGCGTCGCTCGTGCCCGTTCAATGCACACATCATTTTTGATTGGCCGAGGATGGGAGCCGCAAGTTATGCCAGTCACAAAGGAAAACGCGTTACGACGCGACTCGACCGACGATTCGCCCAGTCGAAGCCCGAGCAACACCATCAGCTATATGGTGGCTCTTTCCCGCTCTCTGGGCGGCGCGCCTGAGCTGCTGGTCAGCAGCGTCCAGGCGGGCAACCTCGGAGGCTGGGAGGGGCGAGCAGTTCTGCAGAATCCAATCACGGCACCTTGGGCGACGCGCGTCGGAGACGTGTGCGAGGAGACGAAGGCGCTGCCGGAAGTCTGTTTGGCAGCACGGACACGTGGCATCAGGCAGATATGTGCGAATAACTGCTCGCTCACCGTACTTAGCTCGCCTATGGCTGCGGAGTGCACGGTCGGAGGAAAACGACAGCTCACACGCTGTGCATTTCCAGACCAAGGCTGAGGAGGGTGTGGTCGAGGGAGCCTCGGGGTCACACACAAACTCAACAAACGACAGCTGGCTGACAAGATGGCTCCACAACTTCTCATCCTGCAACAATCGATCCCACTGCGCGGGGTCTTCTGTCGGGGACGGGAAGCTAGATGGGCCACCTGCCCCGGCGCCATTGGCGGCAGTCGCGGGGAGCACGAGCTTCTGCAAAAGGGCAGCATCGTCCAGGAGGCGCTGCACCCATGGGAGGGGCTTGTCTTTCACCCGCGCGTGGAGGAGGGAGAGGAGGACCCGAGGACGGTTCCTGACAAGCCTCCCCCAAAGCAAAAGACGGCCACGTGCGATCAAGCAGTCAATGGACGGTTGGCCTAACCGCTGACGGACCTCAAGGTCGTTCCACTTTACATCCGCCGAAAAACGAGAGTCGCCAATGATCCTGCGCAGAACTCTCATGTATACACTGTTGAGTCGTTTCACCGCTTTGGGGTTCGGAACAGTGGCAAAAACAGAAAACAGCAGGCGAGACAGCACAAGCGTGGTCATGAAGCATATCTCATGGGGCCTAGGCACGCAATCTGCCGAAGATCTTGGAAGACAGTGGAGCATAAGCGGCCATGGCGCTAGAACACCTGTGGGTCGCATTCTGAAAACACGAGCCGTCGACATTCGCGTGGGTGCCTAGATGCACGTAGCTCTGCACAACGTCAATGGCAATCCCAGGACGACCAGGGACTTGGAGACGAAGCTTGCCGTCGGCACAACGGCGAGCCTCACGCAACTGCACAGCCTGATAGCCCCTATATTTTAATAGGGCTTCAGTTTTGCCTGGTTTACAATTGATCTCAAGGTGAAGGTTTTCAAAAACATCGAAAAGCTGACGCAGGAGCACATCCATGGCCTGGTCCAACGAGTTTCCCAGACGCCGCCATGAGCACAAAACACTCGTCGTCAACAAACGCAGCATCTACTACTGAGGCAGGGGCAGGCTCATACCTCGAAACCGCCGGCGAGGCCCAAAATGGGGTCTCCGGGACTGGGAGCCGCAGAGTGACTCCAGCTTGCTCTAAGGTCCACGACATAAGGTCAAGTGCGATCGCATACACAGCGTTAAAAGTGAGAGCGCCGAGCTTGCACCCTTGTCGCCCTCCCGTCCGACTCAACACCCGACCCTCCGCCCCCGTTTCTCCAAACCACGCGCCTGCGTGCAAGGATTGGCACAAGTCGGCCACTCCCGGGTCAATTTGCCACTGGGAGAAGAGAGGGCCGCGGGCGTCAAGGCATCCCAGGATCCACTCGACTGCGCCTTCCGCCACGCCAAGGGCGCGCAAGTGCGAGGCGCGATCAGCTCGAGACTTCGGAGGATCGGGCCCCCAGCCAAAAACTACCTCACGTATAACACGATCAAAAGCTTTGACTAAATCTACGACAACACCACAACGGATAGGTTCTGTAGGTGGGCCACTTCTAAAGCACAGCGTATGAGCAAGGTAGCCACGTCAGTGCCACGTTTGGGCACCGCTCCAAACTGTGTGCTAGGCATGCGATACACATATGTTGGGTCAAGGTGTGCCTTCAGCATCCCGGCGAGGGCCTTGCCTGAATGGTCTGCTAACAAAATGCCTCGACTACTATCTGTATCTCGAGGGTCGCCCTTTTTCTTGTAGACCTCTTGCATCCGACCGCCTCGCCACTGCTTGGGCCAAGAGCCGTTGGCCAGCGCGCGGGAGTTGACCGACGCAAACTTGCAGGCAAGCGCGTCGCCGCCGGCCTGGAGGAGCTCGGCGGCGATTAAATCGTAACCGGTGCCCTTGTTCCTGCCTAGCGCCTTGAACGCTGCCGCCGTGGCCGTTGGTCCGACTTGCAGTACCGAGGGAGATTCGCGTGCTGGTCGGGGGGCCTCTCGGAGAGCAGATTCTTCCACTGGGGCGCCGCCGAGCACGTCCTGGAAGTGCTCAAGCCAGCGCCGGCGAACAGCAGGAGGGTCCGACGTGGGCGTCCCGTCTTTAAGAAACACGCAGGGCGTAGCGCGACGTTGGCTGCCGCTGAGCGCCCGGATGACAGCATATGCTTGGCGAGGGTCGTGCTCTGCCATAGAATTGGAGGCAGACATCGCCATCGAATCTAAGAACGCCTGACGATCGCGTTCCAGAATCGGTTTCGCAGCGTGCTGAAGTCGAAAGATCGTGGCGTGAGCTAGCGCTCCTTGCCAACGATACTGGCAGACGACGACATCATGGTCCACAGCACTGCCGTAGTGGAACCAGCTCCGCGCAGGTACACGACGCAGTGCACGAAAGCCAGGAGACACCATAGAGCGCCAAGCTGCGAGACAGAAGCGCTGGAACGAAGCACGCTCCAGCAGCAACAGAGAATGACGAGCTCGACGCAGGGGGGCAACGTGCTGGATCAGGTCCCAGACCTGGGCACTCAGCCATTTCTGTCGGGGTTGCCTCTTGGGGTCCCCGAACGCATATCGAGCGGCCCAACGCACATATATATTCAGCAATTCTAAGTGGTCGTCGATATGCACGCCAGCGACGCACGGCGGAGAGGCCTCCAGTGGCTTTGTCACCAGGCGGTCTTGCGCGGGCACGTCGGGGAAAGCCCACATCAACTGCTGAAACAGCTCGATACGCGCAGGTTGGACAAGGTTCAGCTTGTTCAACCGAAACGGCGCTGGCACCTGCGCCTGTGGAGAGATCTCGCGGACAACGCCTTTCAGTTCCACGAGGTTGTGGTCAGCCCAGGCGTTCATAGTGAGATCGACGTCATAGTTGGGACGGCAAAACTCAACATCTCCAAACTGCTCCACTGGAACGAAAATGAAATCTATGCGAGCCTGGGTACCATATGATGAAGTCCACGTGTGCCCAGCCTCAGGCCCCCACGTGTTAGCGATCATCATCTGTTGCTGCTCGGCGAACTGGCGGACTTTGGTTCCATTATCGTTCTCAGCACTAGGAGAAGATATACCAATCATTGGAGACAGCACGGATCCAACACGACCGTTCGTATCTGCACATATGTACCACGGGATAGCGTACCGACGGCGCCAGTGCGACACTTTGGAACCAAGGAGGTCCCACCAGTCATTGCGCTCAATCTCTGGCGCGAGAAGATGGGGGGCATGGCCGGAGACAACGCCAAAATCCACTGCCCTCTTCGCGACGATGGCAAACACCAATCTGGGAGATACCACCTCCCAGGTCTTGACCTTAAGGCCATGGCGCACCCAAATCTGGACTCCACACGAGCCGTCATCATTGGCAGCCGCACTCATCATCGTATATGAGTGGCCCTCTTTGCTCAGGGATGCGGGGGCGCGGCCCTCCTGAATCCCGATCACGTCCGCACCAACGGTGACAAACTGATCTTCCAACAGCTGCACTTTGCTCAACATACAAGCTGTCGCAATCTTCGCGTACGCACACTTCTCTTGCCAAGGGAGAAGCGTGTTGACATTGGCACTGGCGATGGTCACATCGCAGCGTCTGCCTTCACCTTTAAGGGAAACCCCGTCTTCAGCACCCCGTTCGACTTCTTGACGAAGCCAAGCTGCGTGAGTGCCTTCTGCTTGCCATGCAGACGACGAGTAGGAGGGGGTAGCGCTGGCTCCTGCTTGCCCGCCAGCCACCTCGGGCCTTGCTCCTGGAGGCGCTCCGCCTTGTGAGCCAGCTCGAGCGTCGTCTTGAAACGCTCCAGAAGCTCGGCAGACTGTTGCGTGGCCTCGGCCACGGCGGCCGAACCCACATGGCTGCATTCCTGGAGCTCGCTCACCGCCGAAGCGAGCAGCAGCTCCAGTTGACATATGTTCGGCTTGGGCGGCGCCTCGGCCTTGGGACCGCTGCCGGCGCGCACGGCCTGCTCGAGCTGCTCCACGTCGTGGCGCAGCTGGGCCACCTCCTGCACGGCGGCTGCCTGCGCCGCCTTCGCCAGCTCGACGCTTTCGTCCGCCGCCGCCTGGCGCTTGACCGCTCGCTCCAGCGCCGCGCGGGCACCGTCGAGCCTCTTGCACAAGGGCTTCGTCTCGCCCAAGAGCCGCTTCTGCTGCTCGAGCTGCGCCACCAACGGGGCCTTCAAAGCCTCGTCCTGGCCCTCCAGCGCCGCGAGCGCCTTCTCGAGCTGGGCGATCGACGTCAGAATCTCCGCTCGAGCTGGCGTGGCTGAGGCATGCTCCGCCTCCGCCGCCGGCGACACCTCCATAGGCGCAGACGCCGTGGGTGCCGCAGCCGGGAGGCCACTGGACATGGCCGCACCAGCTGTGGCACGTTTCAGCTTCTCCGCCACCTCCGCGAGCTGCTGGTTGACGCGGTTCTGCGTCGGCTGCTGCGCGGCCGGCTGGGCGGGGGGTGGAGTGAGGCCAGGCTGAAGTGCTGACTTCGCTGCGTCCGCCCACGTGCGTTTCATGCCACAAGTATTGCACGCATTCTTTGTGTAGTTGGACGACTTGCACCCCGAGCACACCCACAGGCGACTGGGAGCCTGGTTCTTGCCGCCACGCTGGCCGACGTAGTGCCACTGACCGCTCGGGTCCTTCTTCCATTCGGATCCATAGGATGAGGAGTGTCCACTTGGCCAAGTCCATTGCGTCATTTACGCGGGCCCTCCCACGCAAGTAAGAACACAATCAGTTGGGCTGTCGTGAACAGAAAGCTTTTGTAGACTTACAATCAACTCAAGAGGAGCTGGCGCAGCTCGCACTTGAGCCAAAATGGATACGGAATGCACACATCATAGAAATGTCCGCCGACCCCTTGGGGTCACGGCGTGTGAATGCTTCCCCCTCCCCAAACCCCTCCCCCGGGAGCCCTGTCCGGCCGGTTGGGGGAGGGGGCAAAGGTGTCATCAGGCCCCACGAGGCCCCGGCGGGCCCCAAGCAGCCCCCACGACGGACCAAGAGGCCCCCGAGACGCCCGAAGGCCGGTCCGAGACGCCCAGGATGGCCCCAAGACGGCCCCAGAAGCCTCCCAGACGGCCCAGGAATCCTCCAAGAGCATCCCCAAGAGATGCCCAAGAGGCCAAAATCGCAGAATTCCTATGGAAAAACGAGTATGTTCTATCATACACGACTTTTCGGCCTTCACGGCGTTGAAGACGGCCCCAGTCCCCCAAGATCGCCCCAAAACGGCCTAAGAGGCTTCCAAGAGGCGCTCGAAACGGCCCAAGAGGGCGCCCAGACGGCCCAACAGGTTCCCAAGACGGCCCAAGAGTGCCCCAAGACGGCCCACAGAGAAGCCCAAGAGGGGGAGCCTGAACCAACAATCCGAGCCTTCTGCCCCAAAGCGGCCCCAGGAGGGCCCAAGAGGCGCCCAACAGGGTCCATGAGTCCCCCAAGAGGTCCCCCAAGAGGCCCCCAAGAGGCCCCCAAGAGGCCCCCCAAGAGGCCCCAAGAGGCCCCCAAGAAGCTCAAAAGAAGCCCCAAATACCACTTGAGGCAGGCAACTTCTAACCCGCAACCCAGGCACCAAGGGTCTCAGGCCGACAACCAAGGGACGGTGGCGGGATGGGCCGAAGGCAACTATATGCACATACATACCTACCGACCTACCTACCTACCTACCTACCTACATACATACATACATACATACATACATACACACACACACACATACATACATACATACATACATACATACATACATACATACATACATACATACATACATACATACATACATACATACATACATATATAAATACATGCATACATACATACATATATACATGCATACATACACACACATATACATATATATATATAAACACACATACATACATATATACATGCATGCATACATACATACACACATACACACATACATACATACATACATACACACATGCATACATACATACATATATGCATACATACATACATACATACATACACACATAGGCATACATACATACAACCATACCTACACACATACATGCATACATCCATACATGCATGCATACATACATACATACATACACACACATATACATACATACATACATACATACATACATACATACATACATACATACATACATACATACATACATACATACATACATACATACATACACACACATCCATACATACATACATACATACATGCATGCATGCATACATGCATACATACGTACATACATGCATACAATCATACAATCATACATACATACATACATACATACATACATACATAAATACATACATACATACATACTTACATACATACATACGTACATACGTACATATATGCATACATTCATACGTACATACATTCACATGCACATGTGTAACACTCGGCACTGCCGGGGCTACCAAGAGCTTTCCCAAGAGGGGCCCAAGAGGCCACGATCGTCCAATGCCTATGTTTCATAGATTCTCGTGGTTTTCGGACCACCTGAAGCATCTCTTCAAATTCAGCCACCAGGAGCCGTTTTCGGTGCCTGGAACCACCACCGAGGGTCCTGGGTGAGGATCGACCTCCCTGGCCGGTGCCTCCCCTTCGCAAACGAAGGAACACGGGGTGGATCCAGGCTCGAGGCATGAGACTCCTAGTTCTTGGGCGCTCTCCGCCCCCCCAGGGCCTTCAGGAAGCTCCTCGTCGACACAGCTGGGTCCACTCTCGAACTTCTGGCCGGACGCACCCCGAGCTGGGTTTCAACGATCCCCGAGCCTATCCAGGGGGTGGAAAAGGAGGCCTGGGACAGGCCCTGTGAAGGCCCCAAGCAACCCACATAAGACCACGAAAAACTTCAAAAACAATCCCCTACAAGGTCCCCCCTTGAATCCCACACGCTACGTAAGACAAGCCGAAACCCCGATCGCGCGCGTTCCGCGAACTCCGTCTTTCATTCTTGCTGCCGCCCCAAGGGGTCGGCGGTGCGGCGTAAGCCAATGAATCTAGTGTGTATATAAATACATGTATTTGGGTGGCGCTGATGGGCCGGCCGCCCAAAAAATATCTTTCTTCTGGCGGCGCGAAACTCGTACACCAGAACTGTAGCACTTTGTCTCCATTTAAACTATGCCCGCGAGCCCCTGGAACTGCAGTAACTAAGCTGAGACTGCGAGAGCGGCGGATTGCCAGGACGCGGTGGCGCGAGGTATGCCGTTGGCTCAAAGCAGGTAAACAAGTAATCAAACATCTTGCTGCTGCTCACACGCCTCTACTGCTTGGGACGGCGAGTTGAGATCAGGGCCACCAAAGATGATGTCAGCGTCGACATGGTCAGCAGCGCTCATGATCATGTCGGTCGCTCTCTGCGTCTGGCTTTTACCCTGAAGCTTAGCAATCATGTTGTAGTCCTTCCAAGTGCAATTGGGATCCTTTAAATACTCGCTCAAGCCGACGCGTGGATCTGGCTTCGAAATGCCGTCCACCGAAACCACCTGCTGATATTTGGCGTTAGCCTCCTGCTCCGCCTTTCGTGGGTCCTCATTCAGTGTGTAGCGGCGGTAGGCGTAGCGCATCTCGTGCACGAACACTGGCAGCCAATAGTCAAAGAATGCGTCTATCATCCCCGATCCTGTGAAAGAATCGCGCGCCGAAACCATATCCGAGTCCCGTGCCGTGACAAGCCACATCGGGTGTTCACCGCCGCGATACTTGTCGGGCTGCGAAGGCTTCCCAGTCGACTGGGACGCCTCGACCCAACCGGTGAGGAAATGATAGGGGTTGCTGTACCACAGCATCACACGGTAGCACGGACACGCCGTGCTGTTTGAGAGCACAAACTGCTCCGTGGACCCCCCCGCATCGATGATGGCGTGTGTAGTGTGGACGATGGTCGGGGAGTCGAAAGACCCAGGTTTGAAGGACTCGGGTTGGACTGACGGGGCCGCCAAGATAATGACGAGATCCAGCCTGAAACTTGACGCACATCCCACGAACACAAGACCGTCAAATCCAAAATGGGTCCGTCGGCAAACCCGAGTTCTGGCGAAATCCCCAGGCATCTGGCGCCTCCATTCTTCCGAGCGCCTGCTCGACCACCTCCAGGGGACGAATTCTTCATCCCGAGTCGTCTTTTGACGGTCCCGAGGCTCGCTGAGGGCCCCGAGAGGTCGAAAACCATTGAAAACCTGGGTTGGGTCTTACGTCTCCCCGAGATGAGCGTGAACTTCCCCGGGTACTTCGCGCCTCCGGCCTGTAGGCCGAGCGCCCAGCGCCGGTGCAGCGGAGGATACGGATAGTGGGGCACGAAGCTCCAAATGTCCATGCGGTTCGCCTGAGTCCGCTTCTGCCGGGCGCGCGAGATGATGCTCCGCGCGGTGGCGCACCAGTCGTCCTCCGTTCCCAGGTCTGCCATGGTGGTGCTGATCTGCTGGCAGAGCCGACTGTCCAGGTCGTCCGCCGCCGTGCCTTCGGCACGCTGGGGCCTCCGAGAATGCTCGCTCGTTGTCTGGGACCGCGGGTTCCTGCCGTGTCGACCCCGGCGTTGGTTCCTGACACCGCGGAAAATCGTTCCATCTTGAACGATCGGCCATTTCCGAAACGTCCGATCGTTCAACATCAACCGATTCTGGGTCGCCAGCGGCGTTCAACGTTGAACGCCAGCGGCGGTCTCGCCGCCGGTGGACACGACGCGAACCTACAGTCGACCCGTATAACAAGAATGTGCGGTACGGACGCAAGGGCCTTGGAGGGCCATGTTGACGTTGTTCGAATGAGGTTGGCCAGCGAAAGTCGCTGAGTCGTCGCTAAGGATGGGCCGAATGGGGCAAGGATGCACGGGCAGGAGGAGGGGGGGGAGGCGGAGGAGGAGGAGGGAGGAGGAAGAGGAGGAGGAGAAGAAGGAGGAGGAGGAGGAGGAGGAGGGGGAGGAAGAAGAGGAGGAGGAAATGGAGGAGGCCTTGGAAAATTGCTCGTCCTTACTATGCGAGCTGGCTGCACCGTAGGATGCTGCGCTCGTGCAGGGAGGGACCCCCCCTCGCTCGCAGCGCGGGCCGTTGCGAGAACAACAGGCGCAGGACGCCCCAAAAAGACCCCCAGAGACGGCCTCGCGCGAGCCCTCAACGACCCTACGAGCTCTCCAAGAGGCTCTCGGCGGCGAGCGAGGAGGGGAAGTGAGAAGGAGAAGGCCTTTCAGAAGGCGGCGGGGCTTCTCAGAAGGTCTCCGGTCTTCTGAGAGGCTTTCTGCGTCTGCGGGGGAGGCTTAGAAAACATCTCAGAAAGCCAAGGGACTTCCGAGCCTTCGGAGAAGGCCTTGTCCTTCTGACTTCTCCCCCTCGCTTGCCGCCGATTGAGCCCCCAAACACCCCACGATCTCTCCAAGAGGCTTCAAGAATCCGCAAAGGCGACGTGCAAGGAGGCCTCCACACATCCTGGGCCACCAATGGCCTTCAATCTCGAACGCCCGCGCTGGGGTCGCAGCCGCATCGGCACGGCACGAACCTACTGCAACCATGGGGCACTAATCATGGGGTGTTTTTTCATCGTGGGTCCGTTCTGATGGTCCTGGGGGCCGATAGGAGGCCCCCGAAGGCCAAAAACGACGACGAGACGGGGACGACGAAGACAGACAAGTCGACGATGAACGTGGCATCACTTTGCCATGGCAGTGCAAGGCACCAACCATGGGAAAACAACCAAAAGAGCATCGGCCATGAGACACAGAAGAACATATACGCCGGTCGGAAAAAGTGGGTAGAAACATGAAGTAAAAAGGCGCTGAAGTGGATTGGGCTTCCGCTCGCCCCCCGAGGAGGGAAGAAGCAAACCTGTCGATCCTTGAAGTAGGAAGGCACCTAAAGTAGATTGGGATCTGGGCGTCAAAAACAGATCTACTTACAACGACCGGCGTGTGCTAGTTCTGTGTATCCTCCTTGGGTGGAGTGCGTCCGACCAGATCAGACAGTGCAACAATCGTATAGTATATCGTTAACCCAGCAGTGTGGCCAGAAAACTCCCGCCACCGAGCACATGCCATAAGATTTCTGAGTGCGCGCGCGTCGCACCTGTGGGGGCGACGCACACCCAGCAGCCCCAACCCCCGGATAATAAAGTTTCCCCCCTCCCTTCCCCTTCGTATCTCTTTGTCAGCGGGATTGAACGTGGTTCCATTGAAACAACGGGCGGGGAGGCCGAACTTGCTTACCCCCTTTCCAGAGCTCCTCTCGTAGCCCTGGTTGTGAGGACGCCTTAGGCGAAACGCGATCCAAACCTCCCAACAGCGATGCCTCCGGGAGAAAGTTGATCCTCCCGCCGGGACCCCGAACCTTCTTGTCCCCAGGGGATCCTTCTCACCAGCATCTGGCTGTTATGAAGGGGCCCCAGGACACACAAATAAATACACACACACATAAAATGATTTCCCTATATTTTTCCATATTTTCTGGGTTTCTGTCTTCCCCCCCACTTCCCATATTTTCCTATATTTCTGGGGAATCGAAGATTAATTGTGTCTGTGTGTTTCTTTTCCTCCTGATGTTAGTACATGTGGGTGACGCCGAAGCCATGGGGCACCAGCCACAGGGCACTCACCACAAGGCACCAGACACGAGGCACCGCTGCGCGTCGACGGCCGACTGCGAGCAAGAGAGGCGGCCAGCGCCTCACAGCACAGCCGCGGCCTCCCAGACTGCAGGCGCGCTGCTTGCTCGAGGCACGGGGAGATCCCTGCTGCTTTGAGCCTCGCCTGTATGTGAACGGGCTCTCTTGAAATGCAGAGGCTCACGAGCGTGGCGCCACGAGCGCCCCACGACTGCGAAGCGGACGCAGTCGCATTGCTTTAAAGGACCGCGGCACCGCGCGTGCGTGCATAGCACGCTGCCGATTGTCACGGCTGCGCCCTTCGTGGGCTCACCTTCGGGCGCGAGGGCTTGACATTTCACCCATTACACTGCTGCTGTGGGGAACAAAACGGGGACCATGACCAAGACCGGACGCGGAAACGTCGCGGCAAGTTTAGTCTCCGTCCATCTTGGTGAACGTCGAGTCTTGGATCCTCCTCGAGAATCGGCGACGGCCGGCATGGACCATAGCCAAGATCGGCATCGACACGATACCGCGACATCTCGGTCATGGTCAGTGTGTTGGTCCCCGCCGTCACATGCTTTCGGCATCAGATCGCCTCGGGCAGGACTTAGAGCGCCAAAAGGAAACCCCCATTGCCTGCCAAAGACGGCCCCAAGACTGCCTGGGGAAATTCCATGATTCTACAGTTGTTGGTTCTTCGACGAAGAACGGCCTGCGGAACGGCCAGATCTTAAGCATGCGCGGTAAGGAGTCAAATCCTACTGACGCCCAAACTGAAGCCCAAGTTAGATGCCCATAGCTCACGGCTGAGTGCTTGCATGGCTCGAGGAGCAAGGATGCAAGGGTACTCTTGCAAGATATACCTCGTTCTTATGTTGCGGCTTGACGGTGAGAGCTCTCCAAGACGGCATTCCCGTCTAGGCGTCCCTTGGGGGGCACAAAAGGTTCCGACACGGCTTCTCCCAGACCTCACCAGGGGTGCGTTCTGACCAGAATTGCACGGAGAAGTCGCACGTGGCGTGGAGGACTCTCCAGAACCAGCGGCGGCATCGTTGCCATGGCCTCCTCCGATCCTCGTAGCGATTCGGCCGAGCCCCCCCTGGGGGAGGAGGCTGGCGGAGCTCCTCGTGCGCCCCGAGACCCCCGATGGGCCTTCAGAGCGGGCCCTCGATCGGCGGTTCAGCGACGAGGACCCTGCGGGAAGGGGCCCCGAGGTCAGGAAGGGATCGCAGCTTGAATTTGCACTGTTTGAGGCCCCATCAGCACCTCAGGGCCCCATCTTTGAACCACAGGCTCGAGAGGCCCAGAAAGCGGCCCCAGAAGAGAGCCCGAGAAACGCCCACCTGTATGCTCTTCAAGAGCGACGAGGGCGGGAGAGGGAATGAGGAGGGAGGAACGAAAAGAGAACCAGGCTGCGGACACCTAGAAAGAGTCGCCCAACAGGGTCCCAAAAGAAGCCCCCAATATGCCCTCAAGAGCGAGTAGGGAGGAGAGGGGAAGAGCGACGGAGGTACGAAGAGGGCAAAGGAGGGCTGCGGGCAAGGAGGGAGCATTCAAGTCCCGCCCAGACCCGGTACTGCGATGGCACGGCGGCGGGGCATGCCGCAGGCAGCCGGATAAATGAAGGGATTGCAATTGATGTAGTACTTCAGCCAAGGCATCAGAAGCCACATGCAAGAAATCATGTAAAGCGGCTCACCCACCGCCTGCCGGGAGCACTGACCCATGGCGCAGACGAAAAAGTCTGGAAGGTGGAAGAGGATCGACGGGCCGTTGCGGTACGGCCGGATTTTCTCGAAGCTCTGGCATGTCTCCTTCCAACGGCACAGGCACACCATGTAAAGGATCGACAATACATAGTAAACGATGCTATCGAGGATCAACGAAACGAGTATCAGAATTCACTCACCCCTTTGGGCTTACTGACGCGTGAGGTAACATGTGCCTTTCCCTCCCCCTCCACGGGAAGTCGATTTCCGAATCTGAGAGGAGCGCCTGATCGGTGCCCAAGAGGGGGCCGCAGAGGGTAGGTGGCCAAAGCAAGCCAAAGACGGCTCAAGTCGGCGCACGGATGCCGCTAAGTCAGCCTGATTAGAAGAACCTCGAAAGGCCAACCAGACGCCTCCACAGGCCTCGAAGGCAATTCATGAGGATCCCAGGTCTTCCAGAAGCGCATTGCAGAGAAGCTCGAATAGAACCCAACAGAGAACCCATACGACAACACACAATGAACAACACCGTTGTATTTCCTGGTGACGTTCGCCTGCTGACCTGGCCCATAATGGTGGTTTCAGGAGGGCTTCAGGCGGTTTCTAAGATAGCCCAAGTTTTAGGTCCATGGAGGGCGCCAGTGCAATCCAAGAGGGACTCCTGAGAGGCCCAAATTTGCCCAAGAGACCTCTAAGATCACCCAGACGGCCTCCCGAGGGCGCCAACATGGCCCAAAAGAGTTCCTAGGGTGCTCCAGCATGCCCGAATAGTACCAAAGAGAGTCCCAAGAGGTCCCCCCGACTTCTGAAGATGGGCCCTAAGGGGGCCCCCTACACACCCCAAGTCGGCTCCAAACACGTCCCAAGATGTCCTCATATTTCGCTTTCCCGTTCTCTCCATACCTCTTCTCTCTCCCATTCTCTCCCTCTCTCTCTCTCTCTCTTCCTCCAGATCTGTATAAATGTGCACACACAACTATCTATATATGTATACCGCCATCCGTCCATTCACAATCCTCGTCATCGTTATCCTCCTCCCCCTCGGCATCCTCCGTCTCCGCCTAGTCATCCTCCGTCATCCTCATATTTCTCGGTGTCCTCCACATCCTCCCACCAGTATCATCCCCTGAGCCCTTCCAAAGTTCCTCAACCAATGCCTGCGATGGACAAACGAATCATAATAATATAGGGGAAAACCCGTGTGGCGCAAGCCTTACGGAACATTGCTGGAAGCGAGAGAACAAGCGTGAGGGTAAACAAGGCGTAAAAGCCGCTGGTCCGCTTGATGCGCTCTGTACCGTCCGGGACCGTAGCAATGGTCAAGCGCACCACGATCATCGGAGGCAAGTGAAGTATCAGCATTGGCAGCGCCAAGACAACAATTTTGGGCCCCAACCAAAGAATCGTCGTGATGAGCACGTACTTGTCGGCACACTTCACCCGGCAATTGGGTTCATGAGGCCACGCCTGGTCTTTGCTCGTGTCGTTGCCGTCCTCGGGGTTGAGGGACACGCCGCCAGCTGCCTTGATTGCCTCAGCGTGCTCCATCTGCTGGAGAGACTCGCCGTTGAGCCACATGCGCTTCTTCTTGTCCACCGTCACCTTTTCCCAACCGCGCTTTTCGAAAAATGGACGCTCGGCCTCGGGGATTCCCGCGGGCCTGGGGTGCTCAGTCTCTGGGCCTTCCGGGAGAAGCCTGCTCGTGAGATCCGCCATCGGACTCCTCCCCGGACTCAAGCCCGCCATCGGACTCCTCTCCGAACTCGCCATCGGCTCAACTCAGGCTCAGGAACAATCTGGGGATGGCGTATTCTCCTTCTCGAGCTGAAAGGCTCTGCAGCCAAATCGCTACGGACGTCAAACGGTATAAAATGAACCGCCACCGCGAGGTCGGGATCGCATGGGCGCGTTAGGAAGCACGTCAGATGCCAAGAACGGTTTATGTAGCTTTTGGGGGGCGACCGCCCCCTTGGGCATCCCGATTTAAATCATCGGAGCCATGCGTGTTGCTTTCTGCTAGTCGTTCGGCTCCAAGGTGGTTACATGAAGGCTCAAGGCCGTCAGGAGAAGGCCGCACTATTCCCGACCTGGACTCAGACGAACAAGAACTTCCCAGTGCGCTCACAAAAGCCACCGGAAAACCCTACGAAACTCCCAAGAAACTCCCAAAGTTCCCTCCGGCTAGGCACTCCAAAACCAAGGACCAAAACAGAGGTCGGCTTACTAGATTCATGCCGAGCGTGCCAATAGGGGCTCGATGACTTCGTTCTAGGAAACAAAAAGACGCGCTGCCGAATCCAGAATCGGCCAGGCGTCACTGTCTCCCGTCGTCTCCCATGATATCCCGCCGTCTCCCATTCTCTCCCATTGTCTCCCGTTCTGTCCCAAATTCCTCTGGACAAACCCCGATGTACTACTCAAGGAGACGGGAGCGGGGGGGCGGACGTTTTTGGCGGACGCTCGGGTTGAGTCCGCAGTGGACCCCCGCCTCCAGAGGTACCCCCGCCCCCAACGGCACAGAGGCGAGAGTCCTCCTGCTGGGAGTGTGGGTGGAAAATGGAACGGCTCCAGTCACGACGGCTGCGGAGAAGAGAAAGGGGAGAGGAAGTGCACGGCAGGGGGGAATTAGTTTCCCCGTTACATAATGGGAAGACCCCCTAACAGAGCCAAATTCCCCTGGACAAGACCCGATACACTAGTCAAGGAGAGGGGAGCTGGGGAGCGGACGTTTTTGGCGGACGCTCGGGATGAGTCTGTATTGGACCCCCACCCCTATCGCCCGTCCGGGTCCGACCCCCATGCCCCCCCCCCGTCCAAAGAACAGTGCGGCGCGGGACACGGGACTGACCGCGTGCACGCATCCCGCGCGCAAACGCAAAGGTGCCAAGGGCAGAGCGATCCCGTGCCAGGCAGGCGCCGAGGCGGGCCCCCACCCCGGGCCGGCCTGCAAACCAGACCGGCACCGAACGAGCACCGGCGGGCTCGAGAGTGAGCCCCTCAGAATCTCAAGAAGGGCTCGGGAGCAGCCAGCCCAGTAACCTCGCCCTGTGCGCCGCGCAGCCTGGGTTGCCGCCGCCCCCGGCACCCTCCAGGCGCGGGCTCGATAGGCTCGACAGCAGCCCGGTTCCCCCTTCGCCGAGGTCCAGGTCGGCGGCAACCGTCACTGAGGATGGGGGCGCGCGTCCGGCTGGACCACCGAAGACCCCAGAGGCGGGGCGCAACCGGAGCGATAGCAGTTCCAGCCCCCCACCCGCGCCACGCGGACGCTCCAACGCATCGGCCTGCGACTGGAGCCCTCAGGAGCGACAACTCCCTCGCAGCCCGGCGAGCAGCCATGGCGAGAGGCACCGTCGCCCAAGCAGCTATCTCAGCCGCCCGCTCGCGCGCGCCCGGCCGCGCGCAAGCGCTGCAGGCGGAGGAATCTAGCGGAGGCGCTCGGTCAACCGCCGGGGAAGAGCTGGCGCGCATGACCCCTGGACCGATGAGCAGCGCAGCCCGGGCGCGTCCCGAAGGTGGCGCGGATGCGACGCTGCGGAGCGAACTCCGCCCTGGCGGCAGGAGCCAACTCCTCGCCAACCGCTCCCCGCCCCGCGGCCACTGGCCCAGTGCGATGCCAGGGGGCGGCTCTACTACAAGCCGCGGCATAGGGTGGTATGGCACCCAGCCTGCAAGTAAAATACCAACGCAAGGGAGGACTGGCACGAGGTGGTCAACCGCCTCAAAAGTTTCAAAAAGGAATGCGGCCCCACGCTGGCAATCGGCTGGGAGCGCCGTCTGCGACCAGGAGAAGGGGCCGCACTCCTCCAAGGACCAGCACCGTGCCGAATTTTGTCAGGGCTTTGTGCGCGAGCTCAGCCAGGCCAACTACGATGTCCGCACCCTGCGCAGGTACAAGGGCATCCGAATCGACTGGAACGCCGAGTGGCATCGGGAAGTGGATAAGAGGAGGCAAAGCGCTGAGCTTGCCACAAGCAAAAGGAAAGGGCCCCACTCGCCAGCGGTGGTCAGCCTCGAGCAGCTACCGCTGGTAGCTCCCCCATGGCTGGCACTCTACCGCGACCTGTTCTGAGACTGGTGTTCACGGGGGTGGTAGTGGCCTACCTGGCCTACTGCCTCCATTTCACCCCGCCCCCTCGCGGCGCTCCTTTCGCTACACTTCACCTATTCGGTGCCCCCCCCATGTCTCCAGCTTCCGCTCGGAAGTTTGCTTCTTCCCGCCGCCTGGCGTGACTGGCCCCGCGGCTGCCGCCTCCGCTGCGCTCCCCCTTCGCATTGCGCCGCTTCGACACTCCTTTTTCGTGCCCCTCCCCGAGGGCCCCTCGCTGTCGCTTGGGGTGCCTCCACTGCGGCTTTTCTGTCGCCGCCCAGGGCCGCCGCCCTTCTTGGGGGTGGCTGCTGCGCGCGCCTCGGTGGGCTGGACTTGCCGCCGGCCGTTGGCCCCTGGGCTCCCCCCCACTCCTTCCCTGAGGGTGTCCTGCTCTGCCGCTAAGCCCCCGCTCTGGCCGGAGGTTCGGCGGCCTTCTGCAAGTTTTGTCCAAGCCTTGCATCTGGCACACTCCGCTGGTTTGCCGTGCCTTGTGCCAGCCGGGCGGCCCCGGCGGCCCCTGGCCCGGGCCCCCGCTCTCCCTGCGTGGTTTTCAGGCCGGCCTCTTGACCATCCGCCGGTCTATTGGTGGGCGGGTCGCTGCTTCACTACCGTGGCGCCTTGCGCCGCCTTCCTGCCCCCGCGCCTCGCAGGCCCTCTGGTCTCGGCGCCCGCCCACTCCCCGCCGGCGCTCCCAGCCCCACGCAGACCCCCCTTAGCGGCACCGGCGTTTGCCGCGCCCAGTGCGGCGCACCTGGCCTGCTGGCGCTCGGCCCTTTCGCCTCGCGCCGCGCCTCGTAGGCCCCCAGGTCTCGGCGCGTCGGCCCTGACATGGGTCCAGCTGCTCCTCCTGCTCCCCCAGTGGTGTGGTACCCGCATCGCCTGTGCCGCTCCCCGTCCTGGCTGCCTGGCTGTGCTCGGCCGCCGCCGACTTCCGCCCGCCCTTTGGCTGTCTTCGCCCTCTGCCCTTCGCCTTCTCGCCGCCCGCGCCGCCTGCGCTGCGACCCCCGCGCCTCCCGCCGCGCCTGCGCTGCGCCTCCAGGCCTCGGCGCCTCGCCTCTCCCCTAGGCTCCGCTCGCCCGCCAACCTGCTGGCGCTCCCAGCTCCATGATGGCGTGGCTCCGCCTCTCCGTCCCTTGTGCATCGCCTTCACGCCAGCCTGCGCTCGCCTCGCCAGTGCAGCACTCTCACGGCCAGCCTCTGCGCTCCGCCCCTCACGCCTCCCGCCGCGCCCCGCAGGCCTGCAGGTCTCGGCGCGTCGACCCACCCCCTGGGTCCGCGGTCCGCCTGCTCAGCCGGCTCCCCCCTTGGAGTGGTGACGGCATCGCATGTGCTGCTCCCCCATCTGGCTTTGCCCCGCCGCCGCGGGGCTGCCATTCCCCCCCCCTGCTGTTGCCCAGCGCCGCGGCTGGTTCCCCCCCTCGGCGCTCCTCCCGCCGCAGCAGGTGAGTTGCCTGAGCGGGTCCAGCTACCCCTCTCCCCGTCGCGCCGGGGTCTCCTCCTACGTGCATTGTAAACGAATTTGCATATTGTGCGCCCCCCTGCTGCCAGAAGGCCGGAGCAGTCACCCTCTGCCCAGCCGCCGACGCAGAAAAGGTTGCCCGTGTGTGTGTGTGTGTTTGTGTCTGTGTGTGCGTGTCTGAGTGTGTGTGTGTGTGTCCGTGCGTGTGTGTGTGTGTGTGTCCGTGCGTGTGTGTGTGTGTCCGTGCGTGTGTGTGTCCGTGCGTGTGTGTGTGTGTTTGTGTCTGTGTGTGCGTGTCTGAGTGTGCGCGTCTGTGTGTGTGTGTGTCTGTGTGTGTGTGCCTGTGCCTGTGTGTGGGTGTGTCTGTGTACCTGCGTGTGTCTTTGAGTGTGTGTGTGTGCCTGTGTGTGTCTGTCTGTGTGTGTCTGTGTGTGTCTCTGTGTGAGTGTCGGTGTGTGAGTCTGTGTGTGTCTGTGTGTCTCTGTGTGTTTGTGTGTGTGTCTGTGTGTCTGTCGATGTGTGGTGTCTGTGTGTGGTGTCTCTGTGTGGTGTTTCTGTGGTGTGTCTGCGTGGTGTCTCTGCGTGTGTCTCTCTGCGTGTGTCTCTGTGCAGTGTCTCTGTGTGGTGTCTTTGTGTGGTTTCTCTGATTTGTTCTCTGTGTGGTGTCTCTGTGTGGTGTCTCTGTGTCGTGTCTCTGTGTGGCGTCTCTGTGCGGTGTCCCTGTATGGTGGCTCTGTGTGGTGGCTCTGTGTGGTGGCTCTGTGTGGAGTCTCTGTGTGGTGTCTCTGTGGTGTCCCTTTGTGGTGTCTCTGTGGTGTGTCTCTGTGCTTCTCTGTGTGGCTTTGTGTGTCTGTGTGTCTCTGTGTCTCTGTGTGTCTCTGTGTGGCTCAGTGCCTCTGTCTGTCTCTGTGTGACTCTGTGTGTCTGTGTGTGCCTCTGTGTGTTTCTGTGTGCCTGTGTGTGCCTCTGTGTGGCTATATGTGCCTGTGTGTGTCTATGTGTGTCTCTGTGTGTCTCTGTGTGACTGTGTGTGACTGTGTGTGTATCGGTGCGTCTCTGCGTGCCTCTGTGTGTTTTCTGCGTCTCTGTGCGTCTCTGTGTGTCTCGGTTGATCTCTGTGTGTCTCTGCGTGTCTGTGTGTGTGGCTATGCGTGTCTCTGTGTGTCTCTGTGTGTCTCTGTGTGTCTCTGTGTGTCGCTGCGTGTGTCTCTGTGTGCCTCTGTGCGTCTCTGTGTGGCTCTGTGTGCCTCTGTGTGCGTGGCGCCGTGTGTCTCTGCCTGTCTCTACGTGTCGCTGTGTGTCTT